TTAGTCGGTGCTAAAAAGCATTAAGTGATAAAATTTATTCTCTCAATGGACACGCTAGAGCTAGACGGTAAGACCCCCCCTCCCCCAACGTGCGTTCACCGTCGTGGTGGGGGGGCTCAGTAGTGCCCGGCATCCAACCGGGCGCGAAGCTAAGAAACGCACAGGGAGGTTGCCCACTTCGGTGGGCGGTGGGAGGTGGCCCTCTTCGGGGGGCGGTGTACCTTGCGGGTTGCTCCTGGTACTTCTCTGATAGCAGAGTGGACCTTGGAGCAACCCCATGGTTGTGGAGGTCTGCTTCGGCAGACCTGCCGTCGGGGCGTCGTAGTTGAATGCGTAAGCGATCCTGCGACGCCCCATTAAGACGGGGGAAGGTTTTGTTGGGTTTTAGTGGGTAGTACTGGCTGTATTACGCCGGTGAGTCCCACACGTCGTGCGTAAATGCATTTCCCAACGTTAAAAAAAAAAAGAGCTAGACGGTACGAAACACATTACTGAACTCCTTTCAACAAACATTCTCATAACACAACATATTATGAGTATATTTTAATTACATAATAAAATAAATACATGATAAATATAACCAAACTACCTACTACTGAAGCTCTTAATTTTCTTTTTGCAAGAAAAGAGTGGGTGAATAAAGAAACAAAACTTTTGGGCTGACCGCCAAGCGATAATAAATTCTTTGAAAATGTGGCTTGGGAAAACCATGGAAATCGCAGTCCACCGGTCTCCCGTTGCAAAGCACGACGACTCGGACATTACAGACAGTTGCGGTTACAAACTATGGCAAAATGTTCATCGATACTTAGATATCTAACTGGATGTAACGCATCTTACATTGACAAGAAGGGACATTTACCTCAACTCTTTTACTCAATCTACTCGTTTTGAATAGTTACCTACAAAACCGTTTTCCGTAAGATAATGTTTATAATATTTATTCGTGATTTACCTACATTTCCTTAAAAACAATTTGTTCACAATTATTCACCCGAAACTTAAAAACTTATATAACATTCGCTCAAACAAACTTATAGAAACCATCGGTTTGTTTTTATACCTACGTATATACTTTATTAGATAAATAAGTAAGATTATCACAATTAGTTAAGTAGATAGTTGAGAAACGAACAGACAAAATTATTAGATAGAATTAAGTTATTGCGTTTTAAGTGTTCTAAGTATATCTTTTTACAGTGAAAGGTCGATTTCAGTTCTAGCCAATGAGGTCTACAAAGTCCACTGTATGGACGCTGGTGGAATGGAAAAATACTAAATAAAAATACTAAGTAAATATAAAAAAAATACAAATGGATATCTATAATATTGGAATAACTCATAAAGCCATTTCATTTATATGTTGAAGATCTTTGTTTTTATTTTTTTGATCGATGCCCAGAATTAAAATTCATTTCTTTGAGATACACCACATACCTATCTATCTACGTCTTTTGTCCCTACAGGTGTTTTTTTTTATAGTTCGGAAAAAAGCAGATAATAAACAGAAGGACAGAAAAATACGAATTCTGTGAGATCTTTTTTTTCTTTTGAGGTAAAATATGTAGAAACCGAACACAACAAAATACATAAAAGAACAAGGTAAATGCAAACCGTTTTGCAAAAAAAAAATCACAAGTATAGACATTAGACCCTCACTGGTAGTTACTTAGTTAATACCTACTTATTCGTGCATTCGCTTTAAATAAAGTTCCGGTACAATGTTCGGTGTAGTTATATCATAGACTACTGACTGACATGTGACATTTGACTGACTTACCCATGCTTCACTCGGATGTGTCACTAGGTACGTTTTAAATGTATGTATGTATGTATTCAGCCCTTCTTAACGTCCCACTGCTCAGCACGGGCCTCCCTTCAATATGAGGGGGATCAGGCCATAGTCCACCACGCTGGCCAAGTGCGGGTTGGCGGACTTCACATGTCTTTCGAAAACTTGCTAGGTTCTCTCAGACATGCAGGTTTCCTCACGATGTTTTCCTTCACCGTAAGACAAGTGTTAATCATGTTGAAAAAAAAATAGTTTTAAATTATGAATAGTTATTGAGAGTGTATCTTAGGAGAAAGATTTGTGCCATTGCAGATTTTTCTGTAGGCCTTAATTTTGTTGTACCTACATTGTTTTGATTTATCTTGGTTTAGCCAGAGTTAGACATTTCTAAGAACGGCTCGATAGAATCAGTTATTGTTTTCCCGTGGGAATAAAAGATTTTCCTGTAGTAAAAGGTATCCTAAATGTTGATCCGAGTAATAAATGATCACTTCACAAAATTTGGTCACAATCGGTCCAGTACAGATGTCGCTAAGTTATATTTAATAAAAAATAGAATCTTATATATAAAATTTCCATGTCACAACGTTTGTTACCGTACTCCTCCGAAACGGCTTTACCGATTTTTACCAAATTTTATATGCGTATTCAGTAGATCTGAGAATCGGCTACTATCTATTTTTCATACCCCTAAGTGATAAGGATAAGGGTGGTCCTCCCAGAACCCACCCCAGGGACGAACCCGAGCGGAGCGAGGGTGAGTCGCTAGTTATAATATAATTATGTAAAGAATTTTTTATAGCTCAAATCATATTTTATTTTGTATATTAGTATTTCGTTTTTAATAAAATTCAAAACATAAAAACAAATTTTTTAACAATGCAATACCAATTTCTAACTGTTAAAATTATAATGATTATATAAACACTAACTTATAAGTTAAAAAGATTAATACTTTCTGAAAGATATTCCAATAGCTATTAATCTTTAGTCTTAGTGCAGTAAAACTTTAATGAGGACCTGTCTATTTAGTGTTTTAAGATGTGATTTACGAGAACCTTGTAACTTTCTCTTGGCAGTGATGAAAATTACCCATTTAGCTCCGGAAATCCACTAGCTTTTTGTTGTCGGAAAAGGTGTCACTGGAGTTTTCCAGTGTTATAACTTTTGAACTAGCCATTTGGAACTTATATAAATTTAGATATTTGCATACTTAAATTTTATACTATTTTTAAATTATTTAAATCGACACGAAGTAACGAGGTGTCACTAATTATTATTTTAGGCCTAAAGATAACTATGAAGAAAACTTGAAGCCTAAACACGGCTTAGCTCTATTGTAGGCGCTCAAAACTTTACGCGACCTCAGTCATTTATAAACAATCTAATGTATAAGCCTTGCGTCCAGACAGAAATAGGTACAAATTGCATATGGAATTTGTTGAAAAGAACTACTTATGACCAAAAGCTTTAAAAAATATATTAGAAGATTAAACCTCATCCTCAGATTAAAGGAATAAAAAATCGAGCATACAGACGAGTGATTAATGACTGAAATGGTATTTTTATGAACTGTTTACAATACCACTGCGCCCGCAGTACGTGCAACGAGCAACATAAAAAAATATACCGATTTTCTTGGTACTCAAAAAGATAAATGTAAAAAATAGTGTTAGAAATCTATACATATAATAAAATTGTATCTTTAAGCCGTATCTGTACATTAAATATTTTTTTGGAAAGTCTCATTGAAATAAACATTATTATCAATACAGAGGCCGAATCTAGTTTTTAAAACTTTTGTCTATCTGCCCGTCTGTTACCGCATCACAGAAAAACCTCTGGAGGTATTTTGATGAAATTTGGTATGGTGATAGCTGGTTATCCGGGTCAACATATAGGATACTTTTTACAGCGGAAAAATATCTCATTTCTGAGAAAAAATACAAAAACTGCAATGTAAGAGTATACTAATATGTAAAACCTAAAAAAATGATTTTTGGTCATCTGAACGCGGGCGAAGCCGCGGGCAATGCCAGTAAAACATATGTTAAGTGAAGCTTACGGCGGTAACAATACATTAGTGAAAACCGCAGCTAAATCGGTTAAGCATTTTTAAGATTAACACACGCAAACAGACAAAAATTCTAATCATTGTTTTGGGTTCTATTGCGTTAATAAAGACCCCCAATAATAGTTTTTCTCAAATATCTTCCATGTGCATACAGCGATCAGTTACACTTTTATTATATGTATAGATTTGGACGATATAGTACATACAAAGACAAGGTAAAAATGAAATTAATTTTATTACGAAACATTTAATTATCAACAAATTACAATACAATATCTAATCACAATCTATCAAATTACATACAAAATATCTAAACACAGTATTAAACTTGGCTTACATTACCCCTTAAGTTACTTGGAAGTCAGTCAAGTATTTAGGTCCATCGTCATATAAATTTAAATGTAGAATATTATGTTATTCTTTTAAAAATCATCTTCTATATACTATCTGTAATAGTTTTTGGTTCAAAAAGGATAATTAAAATTGTTAGTATATTTAACGGGGTTTACATTATGTATGCCGAGATTTATAAAACCTCCATGAAATATATATTATGTAATGTCATTATTATAAATAAATTATTCTAAAATAAGTTTTGATAGGATTTAACTTTAAGCGCATATTAAAAATTCCAAGCATTTATGTAACTCGTTACATTCAAAATACATATGAAACGTTAAAAAATACACGCTCAGTATAAAAGCCATGAAAATCACAAAATGGCAACAGTAAAAATTGAAGACAATTACAGTACACATACATATAAATAAAAAAAAAAATGTCAACAACTGTCAAACAAATATCACTGTCATACAACTATATCTAAAAATTATATCTAATTAAAGAACAGGTACCTAAAAGAAACCTTACATCAAAAATCATCTTACATCAGTCCATTGTATATTACATAAAACCAACACACAGCAAATGCGAGTCCGTCCGTATAAAGATTTTCATTAAATTGAACACATTGATTACACAATATCTAAAACATGTCAATTTAATCTTAATTCAATTTTTTCTATTCAATCCATTTTTATTTTTAAATCAAGCCATCTTGGTTTTGTTTTGAATAACTGGATTGTATATCAAAAAAGAAAACATAGGCGGCAGTATGTCCCTGACCCAAGTCTAACTTGACGGCATTTTTGCTAATTCATATATAGCTTCCCCTTTCAATTGTGGTAAGTTCGATACTTTCGCTAGAGTAACATCCAAATATTTATTATATACCGCCTTATATTTTGAGTTATCTACATTTATTACTATTTTAGCTATTTTCCGAATTATTGGATCAATATGTTCTAACGTATACCCTGAATAGTAAGACAGCGTAGGCGTCCATACATCAGCTAGTCTTTTATTTGAGAGCAGATATAAGGAAAGGCAGATGGCCGCCGCAGCAAGCTCCGAAGGCCGGTAATGTGACATGGAATATTCAATGAGACTGAGGTCAACAAAGTATTTAGCTAAATGGTGGTTTTTCGACGTCCCATGTGCGGCTTTTACAAATCTGTAAAAAAAAAAAATACGTATTATATAACTTTCACTCGTATGCGAATTATTATTTATAATCTTTAATTTTTTGAAGAGTAATTTCAATTTTCTTACATCTACACTTAATATACTATAATTGTAAAATCAAAATATGATTTTTTTGAAACTTTAACCCTATTAGAAATTCATTGTGGATATTCATAAAATGAACCAAAATAAGAATTAAAATTAAGAAATTATTTGACATTTTAAAAATTCATATATTTAAAAATCTCTATAATACAGAGCTCTTTCATATAAATGTAATTTTCTGTTCAAACTTATTTAAAATATTCTATAAGAGTGCCACGCCATCTATCGCACTTTGATAGTACTATGTCAGAAATTTTCACGAGCGACGAACACAACACGACATTTTAAGCATTCGAAAGCGTATTTTAGAAATAAATACACTTTAAATAGATCCATACATGTTTTCCATATGAATATTAATATTGGTCTTGGTCATATAGGATGCAACAAATTTTCTGTACCTCCAAATCTCTTTGTTCATTGCGATTTAAAAAAAATGGCAGTATGTGAAACAAAATCCTATGTATTTATCTAGGACATCTATCACCATTTCGATTTTACCTAAATCGTTCAAGCATTTAAATTTTAAAGCTTAAAAATTAACAAGCACGCACAATTTCTATAAGGGGAATTATCTCAAATAAAAAAATAGACTTACCGTCTCAAAAAACTCAGTGGTATCGGTCTAGCGAGACAGAATCCCAGTTTGGACATTATCTCCCTCTCGCACTGGAACATTGCAGCCTTTGTATACGCATTGTCTGTCACGTAGATGAAGTCACCGACATCGGGTGCGTAGATCTCTTCATATTTGCTGGCTATAAACATGGCAGTCACTCCCACTAATTGTAACTGATTCCTTTGTACATTTGGCACAATCTGTAAAATAAAATTTTTAATGATAGCCTGTAATTTCATAAGTAATCTATACAGATAAATAAAATCAAAGTGTGTGTGTTGTAATTTAAAAATAACAGCTTTTTAGTAAATGCATATGAAATTATATACAGTACTTAGAAAAAAACATATTTTAAATGTTTGTCTGTCTGTTCCAGCTAATCTCTGAAATGGATGAACCGATTTAGATGGGATTTTCACTGCCAGATAGCCGATATTATAAGGAATAACTTAAGACTTTTAGTTTAGAAAAACAATCAGAGTTCTATGTGCAAAACCAATAAAACCCATGAAATTATTAACACCCAAGCGTAACAAGGGTAAGTTGCAAGCTAAAAATAAATTTACAATACATCAAGTTACTGAAAGACATGTAGTTAGGGCAAGAATGACCAGTTTAGTTAGGACCAGTTGATATTTAAATAAAAATGTAATATCAATATGTATCTATTTTATAGAGACAAAGCAAGCTACTATAATACCTAAAGATCTAAGTTATAACCTTTGAGCAGAACTTAGTGCAAGGAAAATATATTATCTTGATACTTTCACTAATACACCAAAATAAACAATTATACTAAGAGATTATAATCTTTATATTAGTTACTCAGTAACAGACAAAACACAACTTAAATTGCAGAGTCTACATGTATTAAATTTTGCACCTGTTTTCCTTTTATAATTGAGATAGATATATAAGCAACGTAAAATTATATGGAAACTTCTCTTGGGGATTTTCATAAGTTTGTTTTTAGGATCACACACAGGTAGTAATGCAATAATTTAATCATAATATTTATATCATATTTACCTGTAAATATCTGTCAATTATTCCAACAGTTAGGTGGAAAGTCTCCAGCATTAATGAGAATTGTTTTTGAACCTCCACAAGCCAATCTATTAGTGTAGCCCTCATTCTACCAGTGATCACACTCTACAACAAAATATTAAAAATTAGCTTTTGGTATACCAACATCCATGTTTTTATTAAATATAAATATGTTTATATATTTATTGTATAACTAGCAAAACCCGAGGCCTCAGTCGCTGCCAGAAAATACTCTTTGCCCCTTATGCTTTATGTTATATAGCGACTCAACCTCAATTCACTTGTTCATCCCTATGTATGTATATTTGACATTTATGATTACTGCTCTGCTCCTTTGGATGTAGTAGCATGATGATATAACCTTCCTCAATAAATGGGCTATCTAACGCAAAAAGAATTTTTGAAATTGGATTAGTAGTTCCTGAGATTAGCGTGTTCAAACAAACCCTGCTTCTTTATAATATTAGTATAATAGATTATACTATAATATATTCTTAGTCCCATTATGTCTGTCTGTAAAGCAATAACATAAACAATATGTTTGTGTGTGTAAAAACATTATTTAATACAACTCATTAAGTATTGTTGAATTATTATGTTTTTTTTTCATTGTTTATTCTATTGGAAAAACAAGCATACTTAATAAACAGATACAAAAAATATTAACATTACCCAAAAGGCATTATTAAAAGTTAAATCATGGGAAGTTGCTGTTGAAAAATATTAAATAAACACAAACCTGTTTCGCCAAATGATCTACTTCTATAGGATATTTTTCCTCCAATTCTGTTAAATATTTATAAATATCCTTAATGTATATAGACATAAGAAGCGGACTGTTGTTATCACCAGCGTCAATATCTTCAATGTCAGCCGGTAATTTTGGTGGTGAAACAATGTCAATTTCAACTTTTAATTCTTGCTTTTTATTTTTAGAATTGTCACTCAACTTGAGCTTCCCAAGTGATTCTGTAGATTCCTTCAGAATTGGTTTTAAAGTCCTCTTTTCCTTTGTATGTTCCTTTAAAGTAGGAAGCTTGGTGACTTTTTTACCGTCCTTCTTAGCTTGTGAATACACATTAATGGTTTTCTTGTTTTCGGCTGGCTTATTATGAGCATCTTTAATGGCAGCCTGAAATACACAGCAAATTATTATTGCTAATAAATAAATTATCAAAGTATAGTTGACAAATAATTAATACATGAAGAGAAAACTTTGAATCCCTTTTGGAGGGTTGTATTGAGGAGTATGAGCTTTGGCATAGTTAAAAGTATATAGAGAAGGACTGCAGAAAGATAAAATTAATGAAATTTGTTTTAACCGTGAATCCGCTCGCATATTTTATTTATATATAATTACTTCACTGCTAAAAGATGTAGCATGATGTTAGATAGCCTTCATCAATATTATACAAGTCTGTACATGTAAGTTTCTGAATCTATGGACCCGTTTCAAAATTCTTTTAGATTATAGGCTATCTATACAAATTTGAAAAAAGAACGCCAATATCGATCAAAGTTAATGAATTATGGTTGGTTTTCAACCAGGAAGCGATCACTAGTATATTTAATTATGTATTTATAACAATACTGTAAAAAATTAACCAATATGTCTATTTTATACACAATGATATAATATTTTTATAATATACAGTAATTTATACGAATATTATAGAGGAAAGATTTATTTTTTGTTTATTTGTACCAAATAGGCTTCGAAACTACTGAACCGATTTAGATAAAAGGGTCTAGCTGTACTTCCATGGCGAAAGTGCCCCCGATAGGAACCTATATCGTAACCAATGTCATATTGTAGAAGACACTAATAGTAATTGATCCAGTAAATATTAGATCTATATCTTACTTCATTGAGGAGATATTTGAAAAAAAGTGTCCGGTGATGACATTTTTTCAAACTATAGAAGAGAATAACAAGATATATCTTAGTTAATTTCAAAGCTAGCATAATTATAATATTAATTAGTTTTACAAAATGAAAGTGTTATAATAAGCTTTATAGTTTATTTTATAGCTGTTTCCTATGGGCCAAGCCTAAATAAAAGTATTAAAAAAATGCAAATAAAAACTTTATCAATCGATTTCTATCAGATATAATTAAATTACCACTTTGGAAAAAATACATAATAATTGACTATATATTGTCTAATAGCATGCCAAGTTTCATTAAAATCCAAGAGGTGCAACATGTCAAAATAAATCAAAAGTAAGTGACCAGGCACTTTACGACCACCTTGTTGACACTTTTATCTTGTATAACATTTTTAGTTTTTCAATATTGGGCACAAAAGGTTTAAAAAGAAATGGAAAAGATATTTTCTCAATAGAAATTAAAACGTCGTCCCCGGACACTTTTTTTCAACGGAAATCATCCTTTATGGGGGGTGAAAATGGGCATGAATGTTTATATAAGGTGGCAACCTAGGGACAATCCATAGCGAAGAGTGAGTCGCAAGTCATGTTTATACATGATAATATATTAGATATTAATTTCTATTCTCTTTTCGTACATCGAAAGTTTAAGTAATTTGAGTAGTAACTTAAGAATACTATATTTGTTATTACCAATGCTGCAGCCCGAACAGCTAAGCCCCCAGTGCTTTCTTCTCTTCTAAGTGGGGGTCGAGAAGATGGTTGAACCACAGGTTTAGTTGCCAATCCTGTATCCACTTTTGATTGTACATGATTGTAGTTACTGAAATAATAAATTTTGTTACACTTTTAATATGTGCGTAAATAAATTATTATGTGGGTAGATATTAAATATGGATCTTGTATTTTTAATTGTACAACTTACCTTCGCACAATTCCACGATTGACCGTAGCCTTTTTCTCAAACTCAGCAGCCGCATCGGCTACTTTCCCTGCATGTACTTCGCGCTGAGGCTGTAGGTTTGAATTTAATTCACCTAGAGCACCACGAGCCGACAGGCCTTGGCGTTTAGTAGGTATTATAACGTTTATTTTCTTAGCAGCATACCCATTTTCTTGATCATGAAGCTGCACCTGGTAATGTATACAAGGATATATTTTAAATAACAAAACTAAAAATCAATAAGAATAATACACCAAAAGTTCAAACGTACAGCTCTCGTCATGTGTCTCCTCCCTTGAATCTCCATTATTAAATTTTATATTGTAATATATAACGGCTCAAACCACAACAAATCACAAGGCTTATGATTAGCCCTGCTAAACAGATTTATTAAACGTAACTACCAAGCGCTGAATGTTTAATGTCCCACAATCTGAAAATTAAGTTAATGCAAGCTCGATCGGCATTAAAATAAACTAACGACTAACGGCTAAAATTTAATTCGGTTAAATGTAATGATGCAAGTCTTTCGATTGGTTGTAGTGGCTAAACCGGAAATGACTTAACTTTCTTTGCATTCATTTAAAACATGTATCTGATCTAACTTCAATCATTCAGAAACAATTTAATTACATAATACGCCAAAAAATATTCTGAATATATTTCTTTTAATTATATGTTCTTGGTGCTATTAAAAAGATATTTACAAATAAAAGCCATACTGTTGGTATTTCCTTTTTATCAGCTGTACGACGATAAATGCAACAGATTCAAAAGAATATGCTATACTATCATAGACCAGCCCTATCTAATATTATACAAAATAAAATATAAAAAAGGAGTTTTAGTGAAAAATTCTAAAGAAAATTTAAATGTTGATAAAAAATTAACGATACAAAAATTAAAAATGATTGCGATTTAAATCAAAATAACATAAACACCATTGACCATGGTATTCTTTTTAGATCTGTCACATTTTCTATAATCTATGGATTTTAATGAATTTAGAATAAAAAAATTAGGATGCGCGAAATTGTACGCGTTTAATTTGAGACTTGTGAATTGTGATTAAAATTATTACACAAGTGCGAAAGAGTACTGCTATATTATTTTCTTAGTAATTTTTACAACTTTTGATCACAAAACATTCTAACCACGTATTTCTTAAAATGTTAGAAATATAATATTAATATTTTATTAAATTTTAACCTGGTTTCGGCTTATTTTTCAATAAAAACATTTTTCTAGATTTCGCCACGATGGTGCAAAAGGGACCTCGGCCTTTAGTTTTATGTGGACCTTCAGGATCGGGTAAAAGTACTTTATTAAAGCGTCTACTGAAAGAATTTCCTGATAAATTTGGTTTTAGTATATCGCATACAACGAGAGGTCCTCGACCTGGCGAGAAAGATGGTGTTCATTACCATTTTACTAGTAAGGATAAAATGTTGGCTGCAATCGAGAAAGGAGAATTCATCGAAAGTGCTACTTTCAGTGGGAATATGTATGGAACTAGGTAAGCGAATTTATTGTTTTTAGTTTATTGACCATGTGCTCTATGTAGAAAGCTTTGGCATTTTGCCAACATGTTGTTGTTCTCTTTCAGGACGATCATTGTTTATTATATTAGCTTGTTTACCAAAAATAAATGATATTTTAAATTTTATTTTTCATAATTAGTGTATTATTTAATCAATTTCAGCAAAAGAGCTGTTGAAGATGTCCGCCGCACTGGTAAAACCTGTACACTTGATATAGACATTGAAGGAGTAAAGCAAATTAAACATACAGATTTGGATCCTCTACTTGTATTTATAATGCCACCATCTATAGAAGAATTAGAGAGGCGCTTAAGAACAAGAAATACTGAACAAGAAGATGCTTTGAAAAAGAGGTTGGAAGTGGCTTGTCGAGAGATTGAATATGGTATGCTCAGTATTTATTTTTCAATTTGTATGTCACTCTCTAAAAGTATAATGTAAATATTTATGAATTCAAATTACTGCTTTAAAAATTCTGATAGCCTTTAATGTCAAAACTTTATATCACCGTCATCTCATTTCCCCTCCATTCTCTTTAATCTCATTCAGTTGTAATAAAATCAAACATAGGCTGAGGTCAATATTGTATCAAAAAAGAAATAATAAACAATATAACTTTTTTTTTCTTTATCAATAGAATTCAACCAACCACTCACAAGTATTCATAGTTCTGTAGTGGATAACATATTATCATTTTTATAACATTATGATATATAAAAAAAAGAACGTTTATAAAAGAAACTATACATTTTTATCCAAGAATAACTAAGCTTAGAAAAAGCTGTTTGTCTTATCACAAATAACTCTTCTTATCTACATGTATAACAGGGTATATTATATTATACATATTACTTAATTGTGTTATGTAGTCTTCAATACAGTGTTATATGGATATTGCAGCATGCTGCAGTCTTGAAACCATATAAGAGAATTTATAAAATTATATAATAATATACAAGTCACTAGGCAATATTATAAAGGTTTTGAAATAATTTATTTAAACCTACGATAATAATTGTTATGTGATCAAAGCTATAATTTTTTTATAAATAAAAAGAAATTTTATGTATTTATTTTATTAAGTTAAAATAATTAGATTGCATTTGATTATAAAATACTAGCGAATCACCCTCGCTTCGCTCAGGTTCGACCCTAGGTACGTTTTGACGCTTAGTAGGTATGGAATAGTTTTTAATTCAAGTTTTTTTCGTGAATTTCTCTGATTTTTTAATAGTTATTCTGCTATTCAGGGCTGTAAATCCAATAAAACATTGGGTCCAGAAGTTCTCAAGTTATAAGTGTTGTAACAAACCCAATTTTGTTTTATATATATATGGATTATTCATTTAATGTTCTTCTTCATTTAATGTTATGCATTGATAGTATAATACGTAATACGAACCTTCAAGTGACCGCGATCTCTTTCTCGCTTATGGAGTTTTCTTACTAACCTGAATTTTTAACTTTAATAGAGATACAGGAATGGCCTTTCTCGTTTATAGAGGTTTAAAAAAATACAGCAAATGTGATGGGTATTGTTAGAATTTGATTTGGAACTAACATTAGTTCCTCAAACTTAAAGGAAACAAATACAACGTTAGTTCTACAATATTTAAGGCATAAATAGCAGGTGTTAAATTTGTTTGACTGTCACTTATAAAGGTATAATTACAATTTTCAAGTATAATTACAGGGTAAGTAGTAGTTATAGAGGTCCACAATTGAAAAACGGCTTTTTTCTTGTATATACATGTACCTGTTTCTCTATTATAGAGGCGTAAAAAGGATAAATGATAGGACCTGACAATATCTTACAGAGTTTTCTCCCTTACCTAGTTCTCACTCACTCAGATTTAACTATATATAAATTATAATTGCCAAACAAAATGTAATAAAAAGTCTTAAACATTGTTATTTAATATATAATTTACAACAGACTATATGTAAATAAATGCTATATTATTTTTATATACATACATACATATAATATAACACTTAATGATCAGAATCATCTGAGGCATACATAGTATATAGGGATTAATCATTTGGTGTATTTATTTTGTTTCAATTTGTTTTTCCAGGACAGGAACCAGGAAATTTCCACATTATAATCATCAATGATAACTTGGATAAAGCCTACACAGAGCTGAGGGAATTCATTTCCCAGAACTTGAATAATAAAGTGGCTGGTATGTTTAATTGCACGTTTTTAAACTGACATGTTTTTTTTTTAATTCAGCATACACGGATATTTATTACAGAAGTGATTTGAAATTTATAGTTTTTTTTTATTCTAATTTTAAGTACTTACTAATATTTAAAAAAACACTCTTCATCTTATCGTCTTTTAAATTTTAATTGTGTATTATGGATATAGGAAATTCCTGTTAGGTTTATATATATTATGACCAATTAACCAAAAATACATCATTTCTGTATTTAAATTTTCTGATATTATGCATGTTGCTTTGTTAAAACAATAATAGTAACATATGTTTTGTACGACAGTTTATGTTGTAATGCAAAACATTTCTTGCATTATATCAATACTAATTATTATACTGTGAAATGTGTGTTCTTTGTTTTGTTATTCTATCACGCTGCAACTGAGCAACAGATAAATATCATATTTACTTCGGAATAATTTATGAGTTGAAGAATGAAACAGTTTTTATATTTTTACAGAAATTTAGTTTTTTATTACAAAAATTTACATAAATGTAAATAATGCAAAAATTGATATTTAGACACATATATATGTGCATGGTACATATAAACAATATCTTTCGAATCTATGTTAAGGCTTAAAATACAAAAATGTTTTTTGTATAAACTTATTGCCCGTACAATAAAAAACCATTGTCCAGTGACGCGTCAGTATTAGACATAAAACAAGGATTTACAAACTGTAGATAATTATAATAACGCACGGCTTCGCTCGCGCTAAAACTACAAAAAAACTAGCTTTATGCTATTAGTAATAACGTATAGAAGTCTGCCCGATTTGTTGACATCTATGATTACTACTCGCTTGGGTAGTAACATGATGGTATTATATAGCGTATTCCTCAGTAAACGGGCTATCTAATGTAAAATGAATTTTTCTAATCGGATTATTAGTTCCTGAGATTAGCGCGTTCTAACAAACAAACTCTTAAACATTCAACAAAACTTAACTCATTAAACAAAACTTTATAATATTAGTATAGATTATAATAGCCTCCATCATATGCAATGAGCACTGTAACACGTTTTATTTAGGGCTCAGCTCGCGCGATAAATAACTCGATGAACAAGAATATAAGCTGTCACTGAAATCTGTTAGGTCATTTCAGTGTAAAGAAGCAACGATTTAGTGCTGAGTGTGATTGATTTTAAAATGTATATGAAGTTACTCATACACATAATATATTAATTAATACTAAACAACTAAAAATATTTGTGTGTTTTATGAAATGAATAGATTTTTCTACATAAATAACCTATATTGAGTTGTACAATAGTGACTAATATGTCCACTAATCCTATTACAGAAGGAAACAACTCACAGGAGTGAAGCATGGAACTGCAATAACAAACTATGCTTGTTACCCCGTTACTTGCCATTGAATTACTGGGCATTGATTCAGTGAAGAAAATGTTTATGTATATGAGTTTTTCACTAACCAATATAACCAAACATTTTGCTGTGAGAACAACTGAATTGTACAGGCAAAGAACAGGGAATGTTACAATTTTTTTTTGTTTTGTACTGGTAACAAATCTTTGTCTATGGTAATTGCATTCCCAACTACTAGTTTTTACAAATACTCTACGGATATCGCTAAGAATACGTTTTTATCTATGCCCAAACCGAAAAGAATTGGGAATGTCCATGACATACTGGTAAAGAAGCAGGATTGTCTGGTGTAATTGATCTCAATAAAAAAAATTATAACCTCTAAACTTTAAATTGCTTTTTTCTCATAATCTATTCATTGAGAAATTCCATTTTCTTTGCCTGTATCTTTCAACTGTTAAACAATTTATGAATTATTTGCAAAAGAACTCATTTAATTTTTTTTTGTTGGATCAGTTATTTTTCAAAGTAAGTTCGTATATAAAAATACTATTATATGGTTGTAATGTTTATATTTATAATATGGATTTAATAGCATTTTCTCAAATAACTTAAATTTTTGTACATCCCTTTTAAAAAAATATTTCAAAATTAGGACACTTTTAATCTTCTTAAAAGAGTCATAAGGAGTTTTCATAATATGTATTACTCTGATTTAAGCCGCGCCAATAAAAAAAATGTATTATCTAAAATGGCGTCTGCGTATTTGCAGTGACAGATGATAAACATGATCGGGGCCGCCATTTTAGATTCGTTTATTGCCGCGGGTTGTTTTATTGTCATTCCAAACATAATGAATTTAGATGAAATATATGATATATAGTAGTGATTATTGTAATATTATATTGTTGTTAGAGGTATTGAATACCCGTAATATATGTATATCGAGTCCCAATGCAAAATCTATACAAAGTATTATAGAGTACAAACGTAATAAATGCCTTACCCTAATTGCTTTAAGCAATGTCTGTACCAACATTTGTTTTTATTTTAATTTTTAAAATATTTGCTAATTCCAACTTTTTTTATCTAATAAATATCTAAGACACTTCTAATACAAATCTATTTAAATAGACGTGAAGTGTTGGTCCGTTGGAGTTAGCAACAACAGTGTATAGTTTATATTTGTAAAAAATTATGTTTCTATATTATAACACTGCCATCGATTATCCGATTTAAACTGCACTTTAATTGTGATATTCTAAATCTTTTTAATGCAATTTTATATATTATAATATATATATTCCTTATATATTTTCATTCATGGACACTATGGTATGGTGGTAGCATTCAAACAAATTAATATAATGAAGGTCGCAGGTTCGATTTCACTATGTGTCCAGACCAGAGTAGAAAAACAAAATGTAACCATCACTCGAGTTGTTTAATAATTAATATATAGAGGTTGGTGTGGTAGAATTCTTGTCTCTTTATAATGCTGAGAACACACTAAGGGTAATGTCTAACCATTAACAATAAGGCACATTTTTTTTTATTTTGCTCGATTCATTGTTATTAGAGTTAAATCTAAATTAATATTATGATTGTATTGCATTGATATTATATACTAAGCTATTTTAAGAATACTAGAGATCCGAAGCACGGAAGTTTCAACACTGAAAACTTTCCAACTCCGAGATGCTACTATTATTCCGTGACAGAAAAACGTCCTGTAAATATTTTGGCCCGACTCGAGACTTGAACCCAGGACACATGATCTACAGCCGTAGTCCACACATTCTAGCTCTTAATGAAGTAGTCAATTTGAGGTAAATAACGAAATACTTAAAGACATTAAACCTTAGTGTGGTCCCAGCAAAAGAAATATTGCTTGAAGCTTGAAAGTAGTAATCTGTTAATACTGTAGTTAAATATGATAAGTGATAAAGGTTAATTTTTGAAGTGAAACTTCTTTAGAATCGATGTGATTTGAAACTCGATGAAACGGAAATGCAACACTAAAAAGAGACAAACACATAAATATATAGGATTAAGCCGGCGAGAGAATGAGATAGAATACATTACACAGGAAGTGAAAAATAATAAAATTAATACTGAATAATATGTAATGTATTTTTATGTCAAATAAAATGTAAAATAAACTTTCAACTTGGTAAAAATATTATTACAAAAATAAACCTTATAATTATCTTACTCCTGATACTCTATATTCATCTCATTCTCTCGTAGGTAACTTTTCTGGAATTTCTACCATGTGTGAATTGCACACACACGCACTTTATTTTCATACTTATTACTATAAACAGTAATGGATAATAATTTAAAATATGTAATAAATTATGGTGTACAACTTACCACTTTGAGTGGACAAAGCCTGGCTTGGCTAAGCTTTCGATGTTAGTATTCATTGTAATTCTTATACTTTATTATAAGTAGACAGCCAAAAAGCGACATGATTTACTAGCAGAGTTGTGACATACGGGATGAAATCTTTAGCTATTTTTGGTCTGTTGCGCCAAAGAAGTATAACTTCTTACGTGCGTACATAAGTACACACACAGGTTTTTTTTTACATAGGACAATTTTAAATAATTTAAACGAAATATAAAAATATTACAGAATTGTATTTTTTTTATATAATATAATAGGTTATGTTCGAATCGTTTAATAGTATTTCAACATGTTGATTTCAAACATACCAAGTAATATTCTCCATCTCCCTACACTTTCTTCTTTTGTATTTAATCATTATCAATAGTAAATTTGTATTATTAAATTTCAGCATTTGTTATTTTTAATGGATATACAATATACATTCCTCAAATTTTGTCTCTTATTAAAGATATGTTGGTTTTTAATAGCAAAATCTTAAAACTTTAAGTAAAATATAACTGTCATTGATATATTATGTTAAAATTAGTTTAATTAAAGCTACATTGTTGGATGCTGTATCTACTCGTACATATTATGTGGAACCACATTGTTCGTATATAAAAATTGTGCCAAACTACAATAAGTACCTACATGTATGTATTACAGTCGAAATATAAATTCTGCTAATATTTTTAATTGGAAAGTCAATAGAAGTTCATGGTTCCCAAGAACTTCACTAAGCACTCATTATGAAATATTTGTTATTATAAAAACTTGATTTTTATGTAAATTATTTTAATTCTAAATAAACGCCGGGTGTTATGTTTCTTACTAGCGACTTACCCTCGCTCCGCTCGATTGTGCCCCAGGTAAGTTTGATTTTTTTGAGCGGAACCCTAATTCTTTTTCCAAAATAAAAGTAGCCCAAGTTACTCCTTATAACATCAGCTATTTGACAGTGAAAGTCCCGTCAAAATCAGTCCAGCCGTTTCGAAGATACACGGAAACAAGCAGACAAAAATTTTAAAAATAGTTTTTCATAAATACCATAATATATACTTTCATGTAAAAAGCTTTTATTTCGACATTACAAGCAGACACTTCAATTTTATTCATCTGTATAGATTTAAATAATTGAATTTATAATATTTTATTTTATATCAAAAACTTGCCAACTAGCCAACATTTTGACTGTAAAATATACATATTAGTAATATTCTGTATATAAGTCATTCTTTTTTATATATTTAAAAATATATTGTATATTATGTCACATAAAGAAAAATAGTTTAGTAAGTACCTATAGATAATATTTTGACAAAGCTTTTTTTATGAGCGATAAACCCAGTTCTTGTGCAATAAAGTATAATATAAACTTGAAGAATAATATGTTTCTTAAAAATGCTTTTCAAAAGAGTAGATTTTTAAGAAATATCTTAATTATAATTCGTATTATTTATTAAATGGGCCAGTTCTTCGATATTATTTTCTTTTAAGAATATTTAATATTTGAACACCGACCACGTGACAAAATGCTTAAATATGTCATTTCAATTATTTATTTTTTTGTTTTCATATTGACGATGGCGATTGTAGAAAGTCTTCTTGACTAAACCCTCTGATATAGTTTTAGAATCATTAATTATTTTAATACATGGTAGCATAATGTGTATTTAATTTCATCAAAATTTAACATTTAATTAGAAGATGGTGGTTATTTTCGGACTTCGTTACGCAAATAGATTTTAATTTAATTATAAACATGCAAAAACTCCCTCGCAAGGGACTGCATTTCAACTCGAATTTGCTTTATAAGTCTTTATTATGGCCACTGGCAATATTTTTTATGATGTAAAACATGATATCAAAAACATGCTAATATATGCTTAGTGTAAGTTTATTAAATGTCTGTTTTTAATGCGTATGCATTAGGTAAAAAATGTTTAATCTAGATTTATTTATTACGCCTAACTAAACCTTTGTGCTAAAGAAAATTAAGAAAAATAAATTTACGCTGTCTTGTCTCGTAGCCGTTAAAAGTTTTTTTTTTAATTTACCTAAAACCAATTTTGAATTGTTGTATTTCTATTATGTTATAGATCTACGAGGGCTTTAAATGGCATCCAGGAATGTTTACAGAAGAACGTACTTGCTTTTAATATACTTTATTATACATATTTTGCTACAAGACTTAAATTGTATATTCTAAGCTTCTGTCATGGTTTTTTTTTTCTATTATTTCTAAACCATTCCAAGTACAAATTACAAAATTGTGATTATTTGCTTTATTTCTTTCTGAATTGTTTACTTACATAATATGCTTCAATGTAATTCAAATGTTTATTAATGTTAACTAGTAACTGTGAACCTACTTGCGTAGAATAAATGTAGTGAAAAAATATTTTGTACGTTTTTTTTGTATTTTCCTTTTAAAGAAATTAAAACCTTCGAATTGGGCTTTTGAAGGTATAGATTAGTGCATTCGCACATAGGTATGCTATTTGTCTATATCTATACTTATAATAAAATTGTAACTAAGCCGAATCGGTACATTAAATATTTTTTGGAAAATCTTATTGAAATAGACATTATTATCGATACAGAGGCCAACTATAGATTCAGTTTTTAGAATTTTGTCTGTTACCGCATCACGGAAAAACCACTGGAGGGATTTTGATGAAATGTGGTATGCTGCTAGCTGGTTATCCGGGTCAACATATAGGATACTTTTTACGACGGGAAAATATTTCATTTCTGAGAAAAAAGTAAAAACTGTAATATAAGAGTATACTAATCTGTAAAACCTAAGAATTTGGTTTTTGGTCATTTGAACGCGTGCGAACGCGCGGGCAATGCTAGTTTCCTATTAATTATTCAGTAAAATTAACTAGTTTATCAAGTCATTGTATAAAATACATTTTATAAAGAAGTAGGTATCTCACAGCCACAGACATTATAACCTAAATATCTGTGTTTACAGCAAAGGAATTGTAAAAAAGTCTGATTACGAATTTTGTATTATGGAATAATTTTAGTGACGATCACCGAAATAGCAGCGTCTTCGTAAAGTGTAAACTGCTCTCAAAATACCGCATTATACACAGTGCATTGACCTCGGTGACAATATATAACGATGGGATACTCGATTATTAATGTAAATATGAAATGTGCCAAAATTATTAAATACTAGCATTGCCCGCCGCTCCGCCCGCGTTCAGATGGCCAAAAACCAAATTCTTAGGTTTTACATATTAGTATACTCTTACATTGCAGTTTTTGTATTTTTTCTCAGAAATGAGACATTTTCCCGTGGTAAAAAGTATCCTATATGTTGACCCAGATAACCAGCTATCACCATACCACACTTTTATAAATTCGGCCTCTGTATTGATAATGTTTATTTCAATAAGATTTTCTAAAAAATGTTTAATGTACACATTCGGCTTAGTTACCTACAATTTTATTTTAAGTATGTATATGTAAATACTAGCTAGTTACCCTCACTTCGCTCGGGTTCGACTCTGGGTACGTGTTAACGGTCAGTATGTAATAGAAAAACTGTGAAAAACAAATCTATTCTATGGGAACCATACATTTTTTAGTAATAAAAAATGATCCTATGTGGTATTCCAGACTATAATCTACCTCTGCGCAAAATTTCATCCAGATCCGTTCAGCCATTCTAGTAATTGAGTAACTAACATCCATCCATCCAAACTTTCGCATGCTATGGTACTATTATTTATGGTACTGTCATGTACGTATTGTCTTTCTAGTGGTATTTACATACATATGATCACGAAATCTTTGTATTGCCAATATACTTTTTTATGGTTTAAGACAAAGAAAACGACAAAGAAAAAGACGTTAACTATCAAAACTTAATATGCAATAAATAAAGGAATAATAAATTACAATAATTTAATGCTACCTCTATCCATGAAATACAAATAAAAAAAATTTTGGTGAAATATTTATTGGTAATAATATTACAACTAAAAGTTGAATGTCATGATTTAATTTAATTTTTTTATTGTAGTAAAAATTAAAATATTGTCAAATACCTTTATTACCAAGCCAAATGTAAGCAGAAACACAAACAATTTTTATTTCAGTTACTAGACAAGTTCTACTTTACAGTATGTAATGTATTTATATTATCATTATATTAAAGTACAATACTACTGTCTTTGTCCCATCTATCACGGTGAGAATGCGGAGGAGTATTTTCGCAATCTCCACTAATAGCCTTAGAAATATTTTTTAAAGACACACTGCTCTCAGATGAAATATACTTAGATTGTTGTGTTAAAGATTTCAGTCTTGGAATGTGAGATACTCGTTTAGGAAGTTTTGATTTTTGACTTTTTGAATCATAAATAGTGTTTGTTGATTTAGATCTACCGTGTCCTGAATCTGCTTTATTTTTCATACATGACAAAGGTGTTCTTGATCCACTGTTGTTTTCAGACTTAGATTTTTTAGGTGTATCATTGAGAGTGAGGACTTTATCTTCGTAAATGAGAATTCCATCAGGATTCTTATCCTCTACATTTTCTTGTTCAGTATTTGTTGTTTGTAATACTTGAATTAATGAATCATCAGACATATCTTCAACATTTTCATCACTAACGTCCTCTCCAACTTTGGAGACTACAATAGGAGTTCTATCTATTCCTATGGACGGGGACCTTGGATCTTCCTTAAGTATTTTGAACAGAGGAATATTTTTTACATCATAGTCCAAAGTGTCTTTCATTCTGTCTATCATTTCTATTTTATCTTTATTGTCTTCTAATTTATCTGGCTCACTTTCTACATAATCAAAGTTAGTTTCTAAGAATTGTTGATTTGAAGATTCCTTAGAAATTTCACTTTCAATTACTTCATTAGAAGCCGTAGATGACCCTAATGGCTCTTCATTTTCTTTAAGTGTCTCATTTAGTGTCATGTCATAAAAACCGTCACATAAGTTTTTAGGCACCGCTATGTCAGGGCTGACTTCATTTATGTCAAAAGAATCATTACTATTATGATCATCAGTACCATTTTTTAAACAAGGGCTGCCACAATTATTATTTTCAGACTGAATCCTCAGGAATTTCGTACCAGCCTCTTCTTCTTCAATCTTTGAAGTTATTATTATTGGTGTCCTCTCAAAATCTTGAGTTGGTGAGCGTGGGTCATATGATTGTAAATGGTTTTTAATAACAGCAGATAAAATAGGGTTGTTATGGATGAGTTTACCTTCTGCCTTTTCGTTTTCAAACTTCTTCCGTAAATCTGCATTTTTAGTTATATTGTGCTTTGTTCCATTTTTTACCTGTAAAATAATAGGTACATTTATTAAAAAAAATAGTTTAAGAGTGTTGTATTTATATTATTAATATTATTTATTAATATTAATATAATAAATACAATCTCACTAATCATACTGCACATACATTGTAATTTATACTTGCTTTATGTAAAGATAAATCAAAGCAAAATAAATATTGTTTCTTTTGAACAGTGTTTATTATTTTTATTAATTTGTCTAGACATTTATATTGATAATGATTCAAGAAAATTAATCTATGAATTTAAAAAAATAGGTAAACAAAAATAATATAACCGTTTTACATATATACGCGCTATACTTTTTTATTTTTAACCATGTAAGTACGTACCTGTAATGGAGTTCGAGTTATTTCAGGCGTTGGAGATCGAGGATCGGAATTAGAGCTCGAGTCCTTGTCTAAGTCGTTCTTTTGCGTGAATGCAGCTGTCTCAGTACCAGATTTACTCGAGTTACTTCCCATAGTTAAAAATGTTATAAATTATTCTAAATCCTTTAAAACAGTAAAATAAAATCTAAACTTTCATTTTATACACTAAAATCAATTACTAATAATATTAACAAGTTTATAATTTCTGTGTGAACACAAAGCACCAAACTCAAAACAAAATATACATGTAACGTAACGGCTGCAACTGTCAAAATTTGTTTCTAATTTTAAATTGCGGTTGGCACTATGTCGGCACTAGCGCCTGGCGCGGTAAATATGTTGCCATATAAAGGTTCTTATTTCTTTTAAATGTGCATAAAAATATTCGCCTGAAGCTTTAATTGATGTTAGTATTTAAGTATTTAATATACAACATAGTAATCTAATTCTTCATATTTAATATCCAAAATAGTAGTTTGCATTTTTCAATAACTTGAGATCGTGGTCGACTGTTGGACTTGCACATTTATTATATAAATGTGTCATGGAATGATTGATAGAAAACCCCAGTAAGCGTCTCAAAACTGCCCTAAAGAGCACACAATTCGAAATTGTGTGCTCTTCACAGATTAAGGAGACTACAGTGCTCTTTTCAAATAGTCTCGAACCATAAGTAAAATTTTCTCTATGGTCTCGAATTACGTGAGCTACAGAGCGGATATCCGAATTCCGAAATGTCAGTGTTTATTTATCGTTACAAAAATATTACGAACTATCGTACTTTCGTGTAAGATTGTTAATTAATGTTTGTGTAATATACATATATCACTAAATAAAACATTTTATTTGATTTTTTTACTTTACATACGGGTCGAGATATACGACAAATTTTAATAACTGCTTATTTGGCATAAGAACAGTATTACAATATCCTTATATAATTTATTCGACAAATGCTCAATATGACTTTTCTAATTTTAATTAATTCGTAAACAATAGGCACTTTTGAATTATATATTTTTATGTATTATTATTAAGTACTAATTTCACTTATTGAAATATGTTTAAGTAAAAAATAATCTGTTTTTATTTAAAATAAATAATGGATTCCTTATTTGGGAGGAATAAAATATAAATGCATTATAGAATTTTATTTTTTCTTACGTCAATGAGCACATTATTTTTATTTATATGAGACTAGTGAATCACCCTCGCTCCTCTCCCGTTATATTTTTTTTAAATTCAAATGAACTCGCTATTCTTATAATAATTTTATATCTGTATATTGCTCGGAGATTCGGATTCGTCCCTTGGTACGTTTTAACGATTAGTACAGATTATATATTTTCCCGCAGTAAATGTAAAAATATCCTAAATGTTGACCCGGATAACCTGCTATCATCATCCCAAATTCAAAGTCGGGCAGACAGACAAAAATTCTAAAAACTATTGCTTCATTCTCTCTCGATAATAATGACTATTTCAATGATAATTTCCAAAAAAATATTTAATGTACAGATACCACTCAGTTAGAATTTTATATGTAGGTATAGATTATAAATAGTTATCATATTTTATGCTCATGGCGCCATTTAGTAGTCAATGCTAGATATTTAAATACCTCAGTACTTATAATTTCATTTCTTTATTGATTTTATGAAATTAAAAACAAAATTAATCATAAATACATAAATATAATCCATACCCATACCACAGATCATATAATACCTACTATACTACCCATACTAATAATAAAAATGTGACAGTTTTTGGGGATGGATGGAAGGATGTTTCTTACTCTTTCACGCCAGAAAGGCTGAACGGATCTGGGTGAAATTTGGTACAGAGATAGATTGTAGTCTGGAATAGCATATAGGTTGTCCCGGTTATCATCTTTTATCACGGAAAAGTGTACGGTTCCCGTGGGATACACAATAACAAACCCTCAGTCACTTGAAAGTCAGTCGCTTCTAAAGTATAATTATATACCTAATTTGTTTCTTTTGGTTTATTATAAATATTATAGTTGAAATAATATGTAAATGCTGTTTAGCAATATGACGTACGCTATAAATTTAATAATTGATGTAATTTTGGCGCTGGCATATATTTACGTCCAAAGTAAACGTCCTTCGGGACTCATTGAACCAGCAATAGAGTCAAATTAACACATGAGATGAGGGTGACCCGCTACTACTGTATGAAGAACTTGATAGAATATTAACAATTCAAAAATAGATACTGATGAAAACTATAATTTTTACTAATTAAAAAGGTAAAAATAAACAATATTTTATATTATTAATAATATAATATGTATATATTTTTATATTAATTTTGTTATATAACATTATTTTCTTTGTCTATACTCAATAGGTAATAAACGAATAAACTAAATTATACTTAAAAAATAAAACTAAATTATTGGGTAGGCACATGCGCTGCCATACATCTCGTTTGGTCTGAAAATTAAAAACAAATTCTGGATCTTAACAACAGCGCCATCTATCGAGTCCAACTATAGTTAACCATTCAGATGACCAAATAATTACACAAAAAACATCGAAATCGGATCAACCTTTAGAAAAAGAATTATGAAAATACGCACACGGTAGTTTATGTAATATAAAGAATTATCATTGTAATATTATAAGGATAAATAAGTTAAACAATAATTATTCACTTAATATGTAATGTATCGATTACTTACTTATCTTTAATTGTAAACTAAGCTTTTATAAACAATCTACATAGTCTATTTATTTGATATCCAAACTTCCATACTTAATATTATAAATGTGAAAGTGTGTTTGTTTGTTTGTGTCTTTGTGTTTGTTTGTTTGTCTTTCTTTCACGTCGAAACGGCTTGGCGGATTGGCGTGATTTTTTGTGTAGAGATAGTTGGAGGGCTCGAGAGTGACATAGGCTACTTTTGGCTTTTTACCGCGGGAGATTGTTTCCTTCCCACGGGAAAACACGTTATAATACAATTTAAAATATATTTGTGATTAGAATTACTTGAAACTTGGTGTAAATGCTCTTCAATACAATTAATTAAATATGTGTTTTAGCATTTTTCGAAATTCATCCTGTAACGAGATATTTTAGATTTTTTTATAGATAGATACCAAAAGTTAGACCGAACAATAATTTAATACCACTCTATCCAAATAATTAGTTTCACACAATGTCTATTATTGTTACTTAAGTAAATAAGTATTTACTATTTATTACTGAATTAAAATTATCTTGAGATATTTTTCTTGGGAATACATTTTATGGAGTTCGTCCAATTTCCCCGTCGGCAAACCGCTACAGATTTTGGATACCATCGCCAACCTAAAGGGCAGCGAATTCGACATCGTGATCCTTCTGTCATTCCAGCAGCTAATCCTGTAGTGGTCCCTCTACAACTTATACGCCCATATTCTGGAGGAGGTATGGGCTTACACCAATTACGAGCTAAAAATAATATTTAAATGAAAAAGTTGCCTAATATTATTTTCTAATTATACAGGTCAAAATTCCGTAATAACTTACCCCTACATAAGGGAAGATATCCTTCCCACATCATGTCATCGCCGCAAATTAGTGCCGATTCCCCTTGTAATTCGAGCATTTCATCACGACAAGTGAAATTGCAAAATTTGTTTTGGTCATCACAATGTGATACCAAATATTTTGGCGTTGAGCAAGTTTGAATAATAACATGCACTTGCATCTTGCAAAGATGTAGAGTCTGAAACGAGAATAATTTAAGGTCATAATAATATTATGAGATTATTTTGATAGCATCAATTTAACGTATAAATAATAAACATAATATCTTAAAATAAACTGACTTCGTTGTTGTGCATAATTCGACCAACTATAACGTGGGTTCCATGGTCGAGTAATGTTGCAAATTTTGGTCCGTACATGTGAACAAAGCGAACGGTTTTAGGAGCTTTTCGACCGGAACATGTTTTAAGGATGGGATGTTGTAAAAGAACTCTGTCTACTCCTTTTTTGGCAATAAGAGTTTTCTCACGAGGGCATTGTATACATATTTTTGGTGCTGTAATAAAACAAAAAATATTTTTCAATTAATCATAATTATCTAAAAATGCCTAGGTCCAATAACTGTATCTTTTTAACAGAGTTGGTACAAAATATATTATAAACATCGTACATACGTGAATATAAATAATTATTTTCATATCTACTTCTTAATAAATTCTTAGGTATTCGATATTTTTCATCGGCTCTGACAACCTCTCTACCGGGATAGATGGAAGCTACTTCATGGTTAATATTTTGGCCATTAATTTCTTCAAGGTACGCTTTAGATTGATAGAAAAGTTTTGGGTCTTCTCTTGGTTGGTGGATTTTGATCGGGATTTTCTCTTCGTGCGGATAGGCCGTCTCTGTGGGGTACAAAATGTGCAATGGCGGGCGTAACTCTGAGAACCCGCTGCTATAATCGTCGTAATCATTTGTATGATAAATGTTATTATCTATGGAACGCCGATTTTGGAAGCTGTATGAGGGATGATTTGCTAAAGATCCCGATGCAGGCAATTCGTTAAATCTGAAAATGGAAAATAATAATAACTTTTTTACAATTGACCTTAAAGCTATAAAAGAACCAGTGTACAGAAAGTAGATGTTGTTTGAAAACAAAATGTTTTTGTAAATCCACCAGCATAACGTTATGATTTTAAGCCCGTTGTACGAATTCCTTTATGATATGCAATGACGCAGGAAATGCTATTTTCGAGAACACTCGCATTGTAGAATGTCTATAGACTAAAGTCTTCCTATACTTTAGAGAGGCGCTGAATATTGAAGAGAAGTGTTGTATTTTGCATACTATAGGTACTTATTTAATGCAATTTGTTTTTTATTTATTATCTTATTATTCACGTTAAAAATATTATTTTTAACCAAAAGGTTAATGAAATTTGGTATGGCGATAGCTGGTTATTCGGGTCAACATATAGGATACTTTTTACCACGGGAAACGGTCTCATTTCTGTGGAAAAAATACAAAAACTGCAATATAAGAGTATACTAATATGGAAAACCTAAGAATTTGGTTTTATGTCATCTGAACGCGGGCGGAGCCGCGGGCAATGCTAGTGTAATATATACTAACTGTACATACTTCTTTGTATAGTAAGTATGCTTCATTTATACCGTACTTGGTTCTACTCGTAGACCTTATTAAAGATTTTTGTGTTTGTCCTATTTTTGTAAAGGATATTTTTGTGTAAATATTTTTATAAATTTTTTTGTGCACCAGAATATATTTGCTATACCTATTTCTAAATTTGTAATATGGTCATTATCTGTGTTTCTTGGTCGAAGTAAAATAGTTATAGTGGAAAGGTAGTTAAAAATCTTTACTACTTAGTATCATACTGTACCTGTTCTTGTCAGCTTCCCGCTCTCCTAAGCTTCCTAAAACAATCCAAATGATTATTATTAATGTTGATAAGTATTAAAATAAAAAAAAACACTCATGATCATTTTATATCACAAATTATAAACTACTTTCAATGAGCTGAAAATAAGCCACCTATAAAAAAGTCTAGGTCAATTTTCAGGCATGTGTTTTGAATGGGTTTTATGTAGATCTTTTCTTTGCCGTGAACCTAAATTTAGGTTATAAAATGTACATATAAAATCATCTGGAACACGTTTGTTTATTTGTGACGCATATCTCAATAAATGAAAACATAAAATATTTTTTTCTTATCTTAAAATATCTTAGAAAAATTACGAGTAATAAAAAATATTTTTAGAAAAACATTTTTTTTAATTTAAGGAAATGATTAATGTCAGCAATCATCTTACGTGACTACGGCGTCGGAAGTCAGGGGTTCGATTTCTGGACGGAGCGAATGTTCGTAGGTACTTATGTTTTGACGCTCATGATACAATGGTATACCCACATCTATTTTTTTAACACAAGAGTGAAGCCATAAAATTATATGATCATATTTATTATATTAGCAAGATTTAAAAACTATAAACGATAACATTAAATACGAAATAAAAAGCTTACATACGTACATATATTGTGCGTCCGTTTCTTTGTCCTAGTTTCAGAAATTTTCGTTTCCAAGTTTTTATTTTTTTGCAAATGTGCGTGCGTAGTTTAAATATATAATTCTTTATGTAGTTGATCTACAATGTTATTTTTTTAGATTTTATCTAGGAAAGGTCAATAACTTCGTTCTAAGAGTTATATTGCTAACTTTGTAATATCTGTCTACTAGGGACTTAGGGAGCAATCTAGACTAGAAAGGGATGGAGGCCCTTTGGTGAGATTAAGTGAGATTTGGCGAGACCCCACCCCCACTCTTCACGTGAGATTTACGTTATATTTGCCAGAACTACATTTATGTTACATATTTATAATATGTATGTATTTAAAGTTATATATGTGTAGTGTATAAACTATCTGGTTTCCAAAAAACAAGCCTCGTAGCTTACCATGGAACTAGACGCTGTTTCAACATATTTGTTATTTGTTTATCTATTTATTTTTATGAAGCATAAAAATGATACAACGTTCAGATACTCTCAAAATAAATGTTTTTTTTTTTATAATAGATATATGACTTTTTTTAACGGGTAAAATCAGATACTTCAAAAAAAAATGAAAGATACATTTTATATTTTTTTTATTATCTGTATAATTGTGTATATTCTTTCAAAGTTAACATTAGATTTTCAATTATGCCCCCTTAAGCTTAAATGAGATCTCATACAATTTTACCGAACCCGTTTTTAGCTCCCGTAATTACTGACCTCTTATAAAATTACCTATATAAAAATCTCAATCGGTATTTAAAAATTATTATTATACAAGCAGAACCCACGGCTTCGCTCGCGCTAAAACTACTTAAAAGTAGGTTTCATACAAACTTTCATCCCCTATTTTATCCTCTTATGGGATGAATTTCAAAAAATGCTAAAATACGTATATATTTAATTGTATTGAACAGCATTAATACCAAGTTTCAAGTAATTCTGATCATATATAAATTTCGGATTGTATTATAACGTGTTTTCCCATGGAAATGAGATTATCTCCCTAAGTAAAAAGTAGCCTACACCAAAAATCACCTCAATCCGTCACTCCGTTTCGACGTGAAAGAAAAACAATCAAACAAACAAACACACTTTCACATTTATAATATTAGTATGGATAAGACAATTACTTGTGTTGACTTTGAATAATTATAGAACATAAAAAAATTCAATAGACGTTTATCATAAAATTTTATCACCACTAAATAGCTCATTTATTTAATTGAAATAATTTCTCTACAAAGTGTTTAAAGTAAACATAATTATTACCTCATACTAATCGGCATTTTATTATGACTAATATTAATGCAAAACTAGTTTTAGCGATGCGCAATATGATATCATTAGGTAGATCCGTTTAAAATAGATGTGATTCTTTATTTTATAAAAAAAAAACTCGTGTGCGGATAAAAAATATATCGAAGTACTCGTCGTAAATAAAAAAAAAATTCTCTGTACAAAATCGCAAACTTCCGAAAGTTCTTCGCCATTGATGAGCCATGAAATATTGAGTAATACAAAAACTTTTATTATCTTCGCTATTCTATGTAAATAACATTGCAAGTGGGAAGACTACTGTATTAATTACAAAGAGACATCTAAATCATAATAAAAAATACGGAACTCATTAGAATATGCATAGAAGTAACATACATTATCTATTCGAATCTGTACATTAAATATTTTTTGGAAAATCTTATTGAAATAGTCATTATTACCGATATAGAAGCCTAATCTATAGTTTCTACAGTCTGTCTGTATGTTACGGATACTTTTTCCTGTGGGAAAATATCTCAACTCTGACAAATCTATACTAAACGGTAAAACGTGAGTAGGGACGAACCCGAGCGGAGCGAGGGTGAGTCGCTAGTATAATATACCTATTATTGTATCACTCCATCAAAATACAGAGTTAAATTAATTTAATATAAATTAAATTAATGTATATGTTACCGATATATTGCGGAATACGTTATTCCGGAAATTACTAGTCATCTTGCCTTTAAAGTGCAAATCTTATAATATTAAATGAGCAATTCTTGTATATATATTTATCTTGTTTATCTCGGAAATGGCTCTAATGATTTGGATAAAATTTTGTACTTAGATATGTTTTACCTTTTACTTCTTTGCTTATGTAGTTGTCTTTAAAAAAAAACGTAGTTTTTCGCAAAAAAAACTAACATTTTTTTAAGTAATAAATTATTAGAGCCTTTTTGGATGCATGCATTTCATGCTGATAATATTATCATAAAACATCATATCGTAAACTTTTCTGATACTTGCATCGTCGCCAATAAATGGAAGATCCACTAACGAACACCTACACCGACCGAAGCTCGGTCACGGTAATGTTATACATAACTTTACCGTGGCTCGGTGGTCCAGGTACTTATTACTTTAAATAGCAGATAAACATAAGTTTAATTTAATAAAACTTAAAAGATTAAGTTGTTTTTTTCAGAAGGCCTGATAGACGCGATATTTAAGCATGATCTACCCAACCATTCGTTCATTATTAAGTTTAATTCAAGTATAAAGAATCTATTTTATGCACTCCAACGAATGATTGATCGTTAGTCTGTAGATTATTTCGGAAGCCCCAGTATCGATTATCTATACTATAATAAAACTGTAGAGGTCGAATATCTGTACATAGAAAAAAAATGCTAAAAACCGAGTCAGGGGGATGTAAGTAGACAAATAAAACAAGTCCAGATTTTTCAATTTTTTTGTTTCTCTGTCTGTTTGTCTGTTTGTACGGGCTAATCTCCAAATCTATTGGACCGATTTAAATGAAATATTGCATGGTGATACCTTATATCCCCGGGCAACATCTTAGATACTTTCTATCCCGGAAAATTAAAGAGTTCCCGTGGTATAGTTCAAAACTATAATAATGCACCTAATTCAGTAAAATTTTTCACGATGATACCTTATATTGCCGGTCAAATTACAGGTTACTTTTCATCCCGGAAAAATAAACGGTTCCCGTGGGATAGACCAGGCGAACCCGAGCGAAGCGAGGGTGAGCCGCTAATCGAATATAAGAACTGAACTCTTACAAATAAATAAATATCTTTGTCAAGTATAGAGTACTTAAGATTTAAAATTTTAAATGTTATACTTAGAACATACCATTTCGGTACAACCATTATATCTATACTAATATTATAAAGAGGTAAAGTTTGTGATCTTGTGAGTTTGTGAGTTTGTGAGTTTGTGACGTTGTAGGGGGTAATCTCTGGATCTACTGAACCGATTTTCAAAATTCTTTTACCAATAGAAAGCCACGTTCTTGCTGAGTGTCATAGGCTATATATTAACCCGAAAAATGAAAAGGTTTTTTCGTGGTAGTCGCATTTGCAAAGTAAGTCGGAGAAAAAACGGTCGAACGAAAACGTTTCTTACGAACGCTGCCTTAAGGATGAGAGATATATGATTATGTTCTAGAGGAAAGTTGTAGAGCTTAATAATGCCTACAAAAAAGTCAGCGACAGCATATGTCTAACTTTTATATTTAAGTCACAAAAAGTAGTTTTTTATATTAAAAAAATAAGTACCTGGGCGACCGAGCTTTGCTCGGAGTTTTTGGCCAAAAAAAAACATTAAAAAAAAACAAAGAATTTGAATAAATACAAAAAAAAAAACAAAATTAAACACTTTGTGTCCGACCGGGATACGAACCCAGATACCTGTGGTTGTCAAACTTGCGCATTGGCCGCTTGACCATGATGCTTATATCTGAATGTGCGAAATTATCGAACATAATATTTTGCGTGGAATTATTAATTTATTGAAATAATGCAAAGAAATCATAATAAAGCTCTACTTATTTATTCATTTATTTATTATAAAGGCTTACTAACTAAATTTACATAAAAACATTTATTTAACATTATAATTTTACCTATCTGTATATAAATTTAATTTAAAAGTATGCACAGCTTTTATTCCATTAAAATTTTATTTGGTTAAGAGTATATAAGGAGCCATTTTAGTTGTACAATAAAAAAAATGTCTATATCACATTGCTGAAATATAAAATTATATAATTTAGTGACTATTTATTAATTTATAATTTTTTTACTAATAATTTTGTAATCTGGAATTAAATTATTTTAAAAATCTTCATATTATTTGAAATGATATTGTATATATATAAATTACCATTAACAAATAAATAAACAATCACAATAAATTAAATAATTCAATTGAGTAAATACTAAACATTTCACAATAATAAATATAAATAAAATTTCTTTCCATACATTAATTCTGACAATAGTTATAAATTAGGTATTTAAATTCATAATTAAATGTATTTATTTAGTAAATGTCTTTTTCATGTATAGACCCCTCTCGGTTAAAAGCCTCCTCCAAAGTAGTCCTGCATAGAGCTCTTCGTTGGAGATTATGCTTGTATGATTGCAAAGGGTTTCTCTCTCTCAAATTTTGTTTTAATACATAATTTGTTTCTGATATGCCTATAAAGTGTATAATTTTATCTTTGTGTTCTTTTGATTTGTTGTAGGAAATGCTGCTTTTAATTCTAGAAGTTTTTCTGGTGAAGATATGTATACCTTTGTTCATTGTATGTCTGTTTTTCTTTAGAGGGTTACGGTCGAACTCCCCCACAGTGACCGGCCGTACTGGTGGATAAAGATGAGGAGGTTCCTACGGTGTTTACTATACTATATCTTGCTGTGTTGTTTTTAGTTGTTCCTGGTTATCATTTGTGTGGTTGAAAGTTAATTTTGGGTTTTGTAATATAAAGTCTTTAATATTACCAGGTATGGTTTTCTTTGTATGTTGTTTATTTGTTAGTTTTTGTTTATAATTGAGGTAAGGCGTTTCTGAAGATACAGGCAGACTTCTTTTTTATTTCCGTTTAGTTTAAGACTATTTTTTCCTCTAGTTCATGATAGGATTTATCACCTTCTTCTACTCTGAACATAACCAAGTTCTTGTGCCTAATATGTCTTTCTTAATTATTTATTGAGGTACTTTGTTCCTGGATTTTTTTTCTCAAGAACTTCAATTTTTATTTCTAACTGTTTAAATTTCTCATTTAAGTATATTATTGTTGATTGTATTTTTAATGTCTTCTTTCATTTCTAACATTTCTGTTTTCTGCTGTCTTATTTATTGTTGCATGTTTATTAGCAACTTTTTTATGTTCTCCATCTTAAGTGTGAAGTTGGAATTAGAAAAGCTGATTGAAAAAGAGCACCAATTATACCTAGTTGAATTGCAATTTTATACCGAGTACCTATTAGTTTTTGAGGTTATAAACTTATGTTTTAATATTTGACGCTTTCACTTCACAAATTATTTTGTTTTATTGTCATCACCACAGAAAAGATGGTTTTGCACTGATAGTATCTTTAAGTTATGTTTGTCACTTTTGTATTTGTTTGGTAGGTGAATTTTTAAAGTTGATTTGTTCTTCATTCTGATTTGATCAAGACTTGGTGATGTTTACATATTGCCCATAAGTTTTATTTAAAAATTTACTAAGATTAGATTTAATTTTTCTTTAGATTATTTTCACTTAAATATATTTAAACTTGATGTAAATACGGACACGATGTTGACAGTTGCACAGTGGCGCCGCCCACTCACCAGAAGTGACAATGCAAAAATTGTGAAAATGCAAAAGAAAATCGCATGAAAATTCGAAAAGTCGCGTTTTTCCAGATATAAGACTAATCTAGATCGATTTATCGCCCCCAAAACCCCCTGTAAGCTAAATTTCATGAAAATCGTTGGAGCCGTTTCCGAGATTCAGATTATATATTGATATATATATATACAAGAATAGCTCGTTTAAATATATAAGATTTAAATCGGTAGGTCATGTTTCTTGGTCATATTATCAACAGTTATGAATTCTTATCAAAATAAGTAAATTTATCGTCTAAAATGTTTAAAATAAAAGACTTTTCCCTTTTACTGCATATAATTTGGACAAATGGTTAAAGAGATAATACAACATATTCGTATGTATAGACGAACCCGAGCGAGCTGTTTATCTGTTTTTCTCTTTGTACGGGCTAATCTCCGGATCTATTAGACCTATTTAAATGAAATTTTGCATGGTGGTACCTTATATGCCCGGGCAACATCTTAGATACTTTTCATCCTGGAAAATTAAAGGGTTCCCGTAGGATAGTTAAAAAACTATAACAACTTATACATCTTAGTACACAAAAACTACTGATTGGATTTTAATGAAACTTTACAATAATATAGTTCATACATGCCAAAAACAAATCAGCTACTTTTCATCCCGGAAAATTAACGATTTTCCGTGGGATAGTCAAAAAACAATAGTAACTTATACAGCTTAGTACACAAAAACTTGATGAAGATTTTGATGAAACTTTACAATAATATAGTTCATACATCAGAATAACAAATAGGTAACTTTTTATCCCGGAAAAAAGTACTTTTCCTGTGGGATAGATGTTTTTGTTTATTTGTAACGTATTATGTACACAACATAGACCCCAAAACAATAGTTATTAAAAAAATTGTCTGTTTGTCTATTTGCCTGTATGTCTGTTTGTCTGTTTTTGTGTGCGCGTTTCACGCGAAAAGTAATGCACCAATTTCAACGAAATTTGATGAAGTGATAACTTATTACTCGAGTCAACATATAGGGTACCTTTTGTATGTATGTATGTATGTATGTTGTATTCAGCCCTTTTTAACACACGCACGGGCCTCCCTTCAGTACGAGGTGGATCAGGCCATAGTCCACCACGCTGGCCAATATCAGAGGTGCTAGACCCGGGATTTGAACTTGCTTCACTCGGTTTCCCAAGCGAGCGCGTTTCCATTGGGATACCACTGCCTAGATACGTTTTACTTAAAGAAAATCTTTCTTTCCCAAGGGAAAATACAATAACTGGTTCTATCGAATTGTCTTTAGAAATTTATATTTTTAGATATTTATAATTCTAACGTTGGCTCAACCTTAAGAGATAGATCAAAACATTGTGCAAGAAAATTGTAAGTCTTAAAAAGGTCTATAGAAAAGTTCTACATACGATAGTATATGTCTATCTCCTAAGGTACACTCGCTATAACTATTTTCATTATTATATATTTCTGTTTTATTATACGTTATTTATTCTATCTGAGTATAGGTACATAATATATGAATAAGAAAACTGTAGAGGTCGAATGTCTGTACATAGATGGTAGAAAAAATTGCTAAAAAACGAGTCAGTTCTCTTCTTACATCCCGTAAGGAGAGAAATAGAACAAATCCAGATTTTTTTCAATTTTTTTGTTTCTCTGTCTGTTTGTCTGTTCGTACGAGCTAATCTCCGATACTATTGAACCTATTTAAATGAAATTCGATACTTTTCATTCCGGAAAATTAAAGAGTTCCCGTGGGATAGTTAAAAAATTATAGTAACTTATACAGTTCAGTACACAACAACTTATGCACCTAATTTAGTAAAATTTGGCATGCTGATACCTTATATTGCAGGTCAAACAACAGGTTACTTATTTTTATCCCGTAAAAATGAACAGTTCCCGTGGGATAGATCTGTTTGTGCTTTTCTAGAGGTGAACCCGAGCGAAGCGAGGGTGAGCCGCTAGTTATTTATATTTCCTGTTCCTATGATATTTTAATTATTATTTTTTTCATATATTTATAAAACAATCAAAATAAACAGAAAGAAAAAACTTTGCTATTAATTACATGTTTATTATTTTTGCATTAATTTGTATATTTTGAAACTCTGTGTTTTAAATTAATTATTATTTATGTCTTTTTAGTGCTACTTTAAGTATCAAGATTCGTGCGTTTGAATTTTAATTAATATAAGCAACATGTTCATAAAAAATAATAAGGAGTTCCATTACTTATCTCAGAAATTGTACACTACAACACACTAACACACTAACAAAAATGTACTAACTAGTAAGACCCTCATATAAAACAGGGATCAATTATTGTAGCTGAGAATTCATTAAAAAAATCACGTAGCAGGACCGGAATAGAAACTCATTTGAAAGTTAATAATAAAAAAAAATACATAAAAAAAATAGACATATTTTAGAAACAATAGTATAAATATACTTATTTATATGTTAGTAGCCCAGTGGTAACGCGATCGCTTGGGAAACCGGGATTTCGAACATGATTATCACTTGCCTTACGGTGAAGGGAAAACATCGTGAGGAAACCTGCATGTCTGAGAAAACCTAGCAAGTTTTCGAAAGACATGTGAAGTCCGCTAACCCGCACAAGGCTAGCGTGGTGGGCTATGGCCTGATCCCATTCGTATTGAAGGGAGGCCCATGCCCAGCCGTGGGACGTTAAAAAAAGGGCTGAATATAAATGTTAGTACAATACATAAAAAAAAGTTGAATGCACCAAAAAAAATAATTAAAGCCTTACCAACTGAAGAGCACAATATTAAAAATAGGTAACAATTAATCATTTTGTTGTGCCCGACATTCGTGAAGACTTTGGCTTCAAAATTCACTTTCGACTGATATGTTTATTTCGATATCAATACGTGTAACTGTTGCACAAAGGTGATCTTAGCCAAAACCGATAGAGCCAACTGATCTCAAAAAGCGCGCTAAAACGACTGCCCGGCTCAGGCACGGAGACCAAGCGTAGGCGAGAAGTCAGCTGCCAGATGTATGAATATTGTTTTTATAGTAAATCAAATTATACTGCTGATTAAATTGAATCTACAATAATACAATGAGATTATTGTATAACATACATTAAGAATTACTTTCGTTTATATATAAACAACCAGTATGAAATTGTAAGGCTTTTAATATAAATATAATATTATATTTAGCATTTTATTTATTAATCCCTCCACGACCGCGGACACGCCGGCGTTACAGTTAATAATAGGTTTTACATATTAGAATACTCTTACATTGCCGTTTTTGTATTTTTTCTCAGAAATGAGATATTTTCCCGCGGTAAATAGTATCCTTTATGTTTACCCGGATAACCAGCTATCACCATACCAAATTTCATCAAAATCCCGACAGACGGACAGACGGACGGACGAACGGACGGACAGACAGACAGACAAAAATTCTAAAAACTATAGAATCGATATCGATAATAATGTTTATTTCAATAAGATTTTCCAAAAAATATTTAATGTACAGATTCGGCTTAGTTACAATTTTATTGTATTTATAGATGAAATGGGTAGGTACTTTTATTATTTCAATATACCGAGTAGTACACATGGAAAAATATAGTATATTTCACATATTATTAGTGAATGAAACTCAAGACGTGACATAAGAAATTGGACGAGGACTTGGTGGGTGACTATTTATATGTATATACTAGTATATATATATATATATATATATATATATATATATATATATATATATATATAAAATTTTATTATATGTATAAACCATGAACGAATTAATTCGTTCATAATCTATATATATAATAAAATTTTGAATCCAATGTGTACATTAAATTTTTTTTTGGAAAATCTTATCGAAATAGTCCTTAGGTATTATCGATACCGAGGCCGAATCTATGTTTAGATTTTAGAATATTTGTCTATCTGTCTGTCTGTGAACACATCACGAGAAAACCACTGGACAGTTTTGATGGGTTTGAATCTATACTAACCGTTAAACAGGTAAAACCTAGGACCCGAGCGGAGCCCCCCCAACGTGCGTTCACCTTGTCGTGGTGGGGGGGCTCAGTAGTGTACTCACGAAGCCAAGAAACGCACAGGGAGGTGGCCCGCTTCGGTGGGCGGTGGGAGGCGGCCTTCTTCGGAGGGTGGTATACCATGCGGGTTGCTCCTGGTACTTCTCTGATAGCAGAGTGGACCGTGGAGCAACCCCATGGTTGTTGTGGTCTGCTTCGGCAGACCTGCCGTCGGGGCGTCGTAGTTGAATGCGTAAGCGATCCTGCGACGCCCCATTAAGACGGGGGAAGGTTTTGTTGGGTTTTAGTGGGTAGTACTGGCTGTATTATGCCGCTGAGTCCCACACTTCGTGCGTAAATGCATTTCCCAACGTTAAAAAAAAAAAAAAAAGGACCCGAGCGGAGCGAGGGTGAGTCGCTAGTGTTTTACTTTATTTTTTTAAATATAGTATAAAATACTTCTGACTTTCAATATTTCTAATATATTTGAAAATCAATTCTATACTAATAAAAGTGTGTCATATTATTGAACGAATTGAAGTTATTAATTATCTTTTTGTTAAAATGCACTTCAAACAAGGCAAAGCAATTTAAGTGACCAATTCACACTAATATTTATATGAATAGGACCTTGTTACAACAAGGCATCAATCAAACAAAAAATATTTAACCGATTAATGACATTTATTACAGCACAATTGCTATTTACTGACAAAGTATATATATGTTTAACTAACACTTTTTGTCATAAATTTTATACTAACTTGAACAATTATATACGACACCTATATACATTATAGATACATGACATTTTAATAGTTTGAGATTCGATGTATTTTATTAATTTTAGTATTTTTCCCTATATCTATTTTCCTGATTTACTCATACATATTCTGGTATATGCTAGACAATTTTGTTTACTGTATGCACACAGCAAGGATGGAATGGCGGATTGGGACAGGTAAAGGCTTGGCAGGGTGGTACTACCGGACAGCACTCGCCGGGATACCACACGGTCCTAGCGTATCTACCGCTAGGTCGTGTGGCTGCTCCGTGGTTGAAACAATGCGCTTTGCAAGGATAGTCATAGCAGCAGGGCCTAAAAGCAAAAACAACCTCTTATTTACACTTCTACATACTGAGTATCTGTTAATTGAACTGCCTCGTGGGCTCGTTGGCTTGACCATTTTACATTGTACGGCTGCAATCGTGAGGTTGAAATCCCGGCTTTTTCGAAATGGTTATTCTGTTATAAAAAAACCCAGTAACAGCCTAGAGTTGCCGGTTACCATAATGATGCTGTAGTAAAACATTATTTTAAATAACTAGCTAATGTCTAGAACTTTTAAATAATTAGCTATTGTAATGCAAATCTACGAAAGTCTTAAAGGACACTACTGATTGAAACTAAAATTGCGATATATGCATATTATTCCCTGGTATTATTTAAAATATTATTATTATATGTATTCCTCTATATTACATGAATATATTGCTCTATAGACTATATCATTTGTTAAATTTTGAAGAAACTGGCCATATGTTTTACCTTTCAAGGGGTGCGTTACTTGGGCTTGCACAATAAGGAGCACATTCTCGTTGGAAAGGCTGGGGTCGAGGCTGCCCGTAACAGGGTCTTTTATAGTAGATACTGTGTTCGCCTTGTACACATCCGAACCGGGGGGTTGGCCGCGGACATTCAAACCCTCGGGGCAACACTGACATCGCTTTCCACGAATAACGTCTAAATATTAATAATTGAAGTGGTTTCAAAGAAAAATTATAATCCTTTGCTCTTTATATTTTACAATTTTTATCAAATTTTGGGTCTTATATTTTTTTTTTACAAAAACTAAAATATTTTTTACTGTTTAATTTTGACAAGTGACATTTTATATTTTTAAATTTCAAATAGTGGCCAATTATATCAATAAAGAAACATGATAAAAATAATATCCTAGCTCTCGACCGCGGCTTCGCGTAAATCTATATGCCGATAATATTATCTGCTATCAGTGCGTAGAAAAAGAATGTGTTTTGCTTCAACAAATTAAAAATATATATTTATGTACCTATACATTAGTGATATTTCTTATTTGAAGCAAAGACGACACAAATTGTGATACTATACTAGTGTAGATATCTTCATCCCATACACAAACTAATTCGAGCCCAAATTCGAGCTATTTTTGATTGCTTACCTTGACGATAGATGGTGCTGTAGAGCGAGCAGGAACACTATTCGTATCATCATTGAGAATATTTCATATAGCGTTAGAGTTCCATTAAATTATTGTTTCAAACGTAAATATGATATTTTTGTGTTTGATAGTGAATTTTTATACTCATAAGTACCCAGTCACGTATTGCTGTGGTTTGGTCCGTTTAAAGCTCATGCTCTGCAGTGCTATGTATTGTATCGCCACCATATCATTATTTTACATATTTAATCCCATATAGATTTAACGAGTATAACATGAATAAAACTACAATATAAATAAAACTACTATATGATTCTACAAAACAAATTTTAAACTAGCACTTCCACCACCACGCTTGAAAAATTAGAGTTGCCAGACTTTTCCAGTTATATCTAACAAAACCTTCTATTCCACGATATTATGTATAGACTTTTTTGCTGTAGGATATTTAGTACAGCTAAATACGGCAGAAACAGTAAACAGCGGAATAAAAGAAAGTTTATATTCATACGGATAACCTTTAAACTCTTGATCCCTTGGGACGCATAGAAGAAATTTTATGTGACTTTTGAGCTAACGCATACAATGCCAAAACAAAGATATTTATTATACATATATATTATCTAATAAAATTGTAACTAAGCCGAATCGAATAAAATAAATATTTTTTTGAATTTCTTATTGAAATACACGTTCTTATCGATACAGAGGCCGAATCAATAGTTTTTAGTATTTTTGTCCCTCTGTCTGTCTGTCTGTCTGTTACCGCATCACGGGAAAACCACTGGATAGATTTTGATGAAATTTGGTATGATGACAGCTGGTTATCCGGGTCAACATTTAGGATACTTTTTATTGCGGGATAATATCTCATCTCCGAGAAATCTGTACTAAATGTTAAAACGTAAGTAGGAACGAACCAGAGCGGAGCGAGGGTGAGTTGCTAGTGTATAATAAATTCAAGTTTAATTTGTTAACTTCCATTCAAGATTAAATCACTATTAACAACACGACTCGGTGCTTTAAATGAAACGATCATGCGAAATATCGTGAAGCTAATAAGATTATATGATAAAAATAGATTTTTTAATATCTGATACAAGTTATCACTAATCTTTTATAGTATCACTTCTTATCTGGTATATAATGCACCCCGCAGTATCTTAAGTCGTTATGTGCGTGTGGTTAAAATGTACATAGCGTTTTGACGTTCTGTACCAGCCACACTCAACCTTTTTTTTATAGGAGCCACAAACACGTTTCAGTCATGGTGTCGAGGGCCGCAAGCAAAAATTATTTACGTCTTAATGAAAACGTAATTCCAAGTTACTTTTTTAACAAAGATATGTTATAATGCAATTTTTGATGCTGCCGCATGCGGCCTGCGGGCCGCAGGTTGAGTACAGCTGTAATATCTGCCACCATTTTTATTTTCTAAACTTACGCCGGGCAATAATTCTAGTATACATGCAAAAATATATGTATTTTTGCATGTATTAGATAAAATTATTTTAGGGTACCAACATCATTATTATTTTTGCTCGAGTGACCTCTATCGATACTCACTAGTTTTATTATGCGCAACAAAATAACACTGGTTGGGTAAGGGAAATTTTCATAGAAAATTGACGTGTGGACTTTTATCAACGTATAAGACTATAGAATCGGGAAACACCGCTTGAACTTGATAGTTATCTCCAAATTAGGGGTGCCTTTCCCTCTAAGAATATAACGCAAATAAATTCGATAAGAGGACATGATACAATTTTATTAACAAATTCACAATCAATTTGATTCAAACGATACAAAAAAATTTAGATTATTTTTCAATATGTTGTAACACAGGTAGGCCCATGATGACCGATAGCAATGGTGGCCTTGTCGAAGGCAGCTATTGGTTTCGGCGGCTGGCCCACTGCGAGAATTGCATCTAAATAATCAAATTCAAATATTAGTAATTAGAATAATTATTATACGTACACAAAATTTAGTTAAAATATTTTTTTAATCCCTCCACGACCGCGGACACGCCGGCGTGTCAGTTAACAATAGATTTCCTAGAATTTTAACTAATTTCTTAGAAATTTACCTGGAGGTGGGCAATAATATTATATCTTTTAACATGGAGGATCGATACAACATTTGCATAGTTTATTTCAAATTATCACTTTTACAACAAAAACAATCTATTATAGCGTATAATATTACGAATACCTATCGCAAACACTACACCAATGACATTAATATTTCGTCGTTACATGTATGAAAAGAAAACCAATAAACTAGGCTACGCAGACACTGCTTTAAACACTTGTCATAACAAATATAATTTTGCATATGGTATTTTAATCACGATGACTCGTTCCCGGAAGTGAGATCCTGAGCTGATAATATTTAAAAATTTATTCATATATGTATAACAAGGAATTAAGAGTGCTATCTAGTATCTATATTTATTTGTTGTAACTGGTTTATAATGCTAAAAATCCAATATTTTGCATTTTATTATTTTAAATTGAAAAATTGTTTAATAGGTATGTTGCATCTATACAGACTGCAGAAATACATTATTTAATTAGTGTACTTGTTATTGTATATGTGCTACTTGACTGTATACTGTGACCAGAGATCCACTTCTATCACAACACGGAGGTTGACAATGGGGCACACAGCAATGAGAACACGAGGCGCCAGATCTAAAATAAAAACGTGATTTATTTTTTATTATGTAGAACGGTATATAGTACATAGCTATTTATCATTTGCATTTGAAACTTATTATTTTTAGATTTAAAATTTACATTATCCAACTACTTCTAATTCTAAAACTTACTGAATCGTAGACATAATTGTTTGTAATTGGTTTATAACGTTCATTCGGCTACACATTATTGAATATTTATATGAAATTTATCTTTTCCTTTTATCACTAATATATTACCTACTTAATAAAATATATTGGATTGTATGACTATTGGCTGTTATAATATGTGAAGTCTATGAATTAATTATATTGTGACATATCTTTATGACAGCCTTCTATATTTGAAAATATTAATTTTAATAGTGTAACAGTAGGTGAAATAGGTCGGAAAACTTTTTTAATAAATTTTATGTTTTTTTTGGAATTCTATTTTCAATGATTTCAAAAAAGGAGGATTCTCTATATTAATTTTTTTTCTGGTTTCTGGTTTTTGGTTTCTGGTCCTAAATTTTTTTTTTGTGGTAGGTATCTAATTATTTTACGCGTATTTTCGTCTTTACTGTGATTCATTTAAATTGGAATAAAAGCTCTATAAAAAGTAGGTACTCTAAATGATATCAATTATATCAGTGTTAATTTATTTATATCTGCTATTAATAGCGTCAATTTTATATCGGCTGGCAAAAAGGAACTGTTGCGAAGTGGCTACAGATACCTAATCAAATTTTATGGCCGACCTAATCATATTTTAAAAAGGACAGGCAATATTATTCGACAATTACGTATTGTTTTTTTATGGAAACACTTTTGTACATATCTATACTTAATTTTATAAAGAGGAGATATTTGTTTGTTTGTACCGAATAGGCTCTGAAAATATTGAACCGATTTAGATGAAATTGGTTAGAAGATAGTTTGAGCCCTGTTAAAGACATAGAATAGTTTTTATCCCAGAAATCATCCCTTAATTAAGGGCGTGAAAATGGGGATGAAAGTTGGTATGGGGCATTAACCAAGGGACGAACCGGAGCGAAGCGAGGGTGAATCGCTCGTAAGTTAAAACCTGTTTAAAAAAAATGTTTATGTTTCAGAGTAATCAGCGAAGATATCGCGGAATGTCCGCTCACAAAAAAATGCAGATTTGAGTTTGTGATTGAGAATTGAGTAGCGCTTCTCCTTTTTGAAGTAAAGAAACAATATTATCTGATGTTTGAATTTTATATAATTAACTAGCGACTTACCCTCGCTTCGCTCAGGTACGTCACTATCACTGTCACTATACTTGAATGGCTCAGGAATACATAAAAAACAAACGTGATAAGAAAAATCTTTTTTTTTTCTTCCAACAACCTTCGAACCCATACAAAATAACCTACCAGAGTTTTATCACAATCAGATTTCACAACAAAGGGATTGGTTTATCATAATGGTTTAGGAAGACTATTAGAGATAGTTTAAATATATTTAGATATGTGTTTACATGCCAAATAGTAATATACTTACAATTATTTATTACTGTTATGATTTATATGAAATATATGAACACAATTAAATAATTACTTACTTAAAATATCATGTAGTTATATATTTTTCTAATGCAGACATGTAGTAATTAGCATAAAAATTGTATTCAATTATATGATGGGGCACATGAAGGGTAGTGAGATTGGACCTGCAATGAACAAGTAACATTATTTACCATTTTGTTACAAATATTACAATGCAATATTTAGCTTAATATTTTTATGAAGTATACAAATGAACAGTAATATTTACCGGTCTCTCGTAATTAATTAGTTGGTATCGAACTTTTTTGTCCTGACTGTTTAGTAACATGCCAGGCCAACTTGTCGGACGATAGTCGAACGTGCTATCCCCTACGATCAAGGGTCTTCGTAAAGTAACAGGATCTGTTCCACATGGGAGACATCGCAGCCCCTAAAATATATATAGTTATTTAGAAAGGCAAGTTACGTTAATTATAAAAAAAGGTACACCAACTTCAAAACCACTTAAAAGTAATAATTGCACACTTAAGATATTGTTTTTTTCTAATAGCATGGGACCACTCTTTAGGTCTATTTTCATTAAAGAAAAACGATGAAAATCGACTTTACAATTAGCCAATATACGTAAAGATAAAGTCGAATTAACTATTTCCTCTTTGACCGTCGATCATTCATTATATATCTTATAAACTACACTATGTCTTAAGACAGTTAGGTACTAGGAGGTTTTGATTTACCTGGACTGGATAGCACGGAATGCATTCTGGCGGTTCCTTATAACTTGGTAAATTTAGTACAGGACTACACATTGTGGTTTGTATATTCTAATATTGTTGTGCAAAATACTTTTTCCGAAATAGTTATTATATTATTTTGATTGATGGAATTATTAACAAAAACTTAATGTCATTAACACCATATATTTACTTTTCAGCCTAATATTTTCAAATAAAATCTCATTATTCTTTATTACTTTATTCAAAGTATCTTAATCGAATATAATTTTTTTAAAGAAATAATAAATATTGGTAAAATAAAGCCTTCATGCGTTTTCTTCTATCATTAATAACACAATAATATAAAAAACATTAATATTTCACACAATAGTACCTAATATTTTACACAAGCCTATCTAATGAGACAAAAACGTTTGGTCTTATGACTTGCTGGACTTAGGCAATAGGCCTCCCCTAAAAGATTTCTACGACTGCCAGTCTTGTGCTATCCGTCAGTGGGATCGAGAAGCAATTTCTTGAGTCTGATCCGGGATCATTCATCAGTCTCCTGCATCATTTAAATGACATTACTACCAGTACGAAATTACAAAACTTATACTATTGTTTGTGACTTCACATAACTTTTAACTACATTGAAAAAATCTGTATAGGCATGTATGAAATAAATATATTTTATTGTATATTTTTAAGGTATACATACAAAGAATATTAAATATATCTTCGTTGATATGTTTGCTTAATTGAGAAGTTTATAGTCATGGTAATTGTTATTGGAAATAAAAAAAAGTTGGTATCTAATCGCTTTGATTTGTAAGTAATTTTATTTTTTTATATACGAAATACGGATAGACGAAAATATTACCCATACTTTAAACATTACCTATAGGCATACAGAATTTTATAATGTTTTAAATTATACAATCGTCGATTACAATTTTTCTTGATTGAAACGTCCAACGGCAGCCAAGTAGAATTTTAGTTTTTCAATTGATTTCTTAGCCAATTAGATAATTAGAATTTTAACTACAATCACATAGGCTTCTTTAATATATAAATACGACTACTTCAGACAACACCACTCATTTGGTCCAAACATAAGCCAGCAGTAACATTCAAAATTAAATTTAAAGTGGAAAGAAAATAAGTCAACATGCCCGGATGTGTGCCTTCTTCAATGTGTACTCCTACGCCTTGCTTGTCTCCTTCGCCTTGTGCTCCGGGACCATACTTGTGCCAAAATAATATTCCTCCGACGCAGAGGTGCTACCCTGTGAACCCTTGCATCAATATCTACAGCTGCCACACTCAAATTATGTAATTGAAGCCAACAAAATGGGAGAAACAAATGGAAAATGAATTTTTATCTTTTGCAATAAAATCTTTATAATAAATACTATGCGTGTGTTATATTTTTTTATAAGAACATTCTAGTTGATTATGTTTTGAAATATATCAACTTTTTATGAGTTGCTGCTTTAAATCTTGCAAGTATGTAGTGTTTTGATAATTTTTAATAATATTATTAAGATATATTCTCAAATATTTTTTGCATTATATGAAATATTATGTAAAATACATTTAAGTATGCCTAGAGTCAATAAAAAAGTGATAATTGGTAACAAAAATTGTCGTGAAAAAATTAAAATAAAAAAAATATTTTTAATTATTAATAATAAACTATAATTAGGTTGCATTTCCACTAATCTGGATATCAATCTGCATAACTGTACTTATAATTATGAAGTAATAGGATGGAAAGTGCGAATGTGTGATGTAATAGACAGTAATGGTACGAGACTCATGACATTCAGTAAAAAATCTAATAATTTAATGCTGATTAAAATATTTTGAATTTGTATAATATTAGGTAGGTACAGCTATTTCATTATAATTGATTGTATGGATTAAAATTTATATTTACAGTTTGAGCTCTCTGTACAGTGTGGGTGGAATCATATAACTATCATTAAGACCTTGTGTCTTCGAAATAAATAGACATCGAAGCGCATGCAAAAAATTGTAAAATTAGTGACGCCATGAAATACCTACCGATTATTTGATTATAAAAAATTGTAATGTCAAACAATTCATTATGTAATAAAAAAATATACTATAACCACATTTTTTATTAAAACCACAATTTTGTTACGGGATAATAAGAATATGACAAGATTTGAACAGTTGCATGTATCTAACATGCAAGCAATTTTGTTACCGAAGAGGCACATCGACGTGATAGCAGTAGCCGGATTGTGACCCCTGAAATTAAAGTTTATGTAAATCAGATGTAAATGTTTGTTTGTGCTAAAGTTTTAATTTCTGTTACTTTACACATATTGCAATTTTCAACTAGAATTTAACACAGGTAAGTAGTTTACGAGGACACAGATATAAAATGTGATACATTGATGACGCTAAGATGACGCTGTAATGCATCTTACACCGCTCAACAGTGGTCTGATTGCTTTAAATTTTTTTATAATTATTGTTACTTTTAAATGGTGGAAAATTAAATTACCTATCTCGATTTGAAAGGCATGGACTATTAATTAACTGATGAGCTTAGGACTCTTATAATTTATAATCTCTAAATTACGTAGCTAAGATATTGAAACTTTTCCCTTCTTGTTAACCTGTTTCATGAAATTTCCTAATGAAATAAGATTGAGGAGCACAAAAGTCAAAAACTAGTAATACTAACTTGTCTGACGTAATTACAGTTACAGTGTCGCAAATTGGGATTTCGCCTTGTGAAACACTCAACAGGCGAACCTGATGGCCTTTTATCATACACATTATCATGCACTATCAAAGGTCTTCTTCGAGTCACAGGATCTAGTTCACAATCAGGACAATGGCTACGAGAAATAGGGAGGCATGGGTATGGGGCTGGTGGTGCTCTAGGACAAATAGGGCGCTGTTTAGGAAGAATCGGTGGAGGGCATTGAGGATTACAGCATGGTAGCACTGGTTGGTAACAGGGTGATGGCTCCGGGCATGGACATACCTAAAATAAATTAGTATTTTATTGTTAGATAGTACATAACTAAAGGGAATAAATAAGAATGTTTACTTATTGGTATATCATATATCAAATCTCAAAATACATATATAGTTTACACACTATCCGTGGAGGTCTCACTATCTTAAGTCTGAACAAATTCCTTGCAATCAATTTAGTTAATGTCTTTTGTGTATGAAAATTATGCGTGTCTATATTTTCATAGTATATTTGCATCAATGGCGACAAACAAGATTTTATATGATATATATGATTGATTGAAATAAGTTACAATAGTTCAATTAGTTCTCTTCGAAAATAAGGCGATTTTAAATAAAGATTTTAAATGACTTTCATATCTTAAGACAAACTTACCGGAGGAGGATCACAAGGCTCTGGCGGAGGACAACAAGGCAGTACTGGTGGGCAACACACTGGCTTTGGAGGTGGAGGTTGGCAAGAATCACATGGAGGTTGTCGTCGAGGTCTACAAGGTGGCAATATAGGAACTATAGGTGGTATCACATCTGGTATAACAGGGGCTGGGCAAGGTCTAAATACTGGTTTGCAATTACAAGGAGGACATGGAGTGCACGGTACTGGTGGAGGACAACATGGTTGACAGCAAGGATTTGGTGGAGGACAAGGGAATCTACAAGGTCCAGTTCCACAAGGCAAAATAGCCGGACATGTCGGGCAAAAACTCATTGAACACATAATTTAACCATAAGTAACTTGCACTTATTATATTTATTTTCAATTTTTATTTAAATTTTGATGCCAAATTTTATTTTTTTTGATTTATATTAAATAAATAATACGTCAATGTCAATTACATTATTTTTATCGTATTCTATCAGATTTTAATCTTGGAATACTTTATTTGACAGAAAAAATAATAGCATTTAAATAAATAAAAAATTGGAAAATTATTTGTTCACATTACTTAATTACGACATAAAAATTATATATTTAAATTACTAAAAAAATTGCAAAATGAGTGCTCCATATTACAGTTACGACCCATGTGTTACAAGCGGTATGCCCTGTGGTGCCACTTACCCTTATTCGACGAAGCCTTGTATGGCTTCCTTCAACAATTTGACCCCGTGTTCAGTGTGTCCAGGCGGCGGATGCTCCCCGTGCCCGGCTCCTGTACGACCATGTCCAAGCCCTTGTCCAGCCCCTCCTATTTTACCTTGTTTACCTCCTTGCCCTCCGTGCGATAAGGTATGCCTATTTATTTTAATGATATATGATAGAAAAACTAAACTTGCATGTCTTATATGCATATATATATCTAAACGCTATATAAGATCATTTAAGTCATAATCATCATTTATAATTTCTATCTTTTCAATGAGTTCATTCTTTAAAACATGTTTTATGTTTTTTTATTGCGTTTTTTTCAAAAATTCCTGGACGTATTATGATAGTACTTTTTAGCATATACTCGTAGGTATCATATCTTTTTAGCACATAATCGACTCAACAGTTAAGGCTATTAATTAGTAAAGTTAGTAAATATAGTTTCTCCCTAATTGAGATGCCTCAACCTTTTTTTAACAAATATCCAGATTTGGAGTTCTAACGTAATTTTAATAAACGATATGCATGCATCAAAATGGTCATAAAAATTAATTTCACTACGCAGCCTCCAATGCCAGTTAGACAACCTGAGAGGTTGTGCGACTCGATAGCAATCCCATGCTGCAGACCCAATCGATGTAAGCCGTGTCCGTGCTACTGTTGTACGGAGCCAGGAATTTGTTCTCCGAAGCGTTGCAGCTATCCTGGCGTTCCTGTATGTGGGGGGCGGTGTGGCCCATGTATGCCTGTTTGGTGATACTAATAATATATAATTATTAATAGTTTTGTTGATTTCGAGAGCAACTTAAATAAATTTTGTGCTGTTTAATTGCCTATAGTTTTTTTACATTGTTTTGAGAAACTTTAGGAGTAAAATGCATTGGGAATAAGAAAATAGCTTAGGTTCTTTTTAAATATAAATAAGGTTGTTTCTCGAGTCGGATGCGCTTTATGTGAAAGTGCGATATGTTCGCTTTTGAGGCTTATTTGATTTCGGTGGATTTTTACCAACTTAAGGGTGGAGGTACTTAACCTTGTTCAGTGCACTTTACGCAATATCTTCCCTAAAGGTGAACCGTCCCTAATAACTATTCTTTTAATGAATCTTATATTATATGAATTGACTAGCATTGCTCGCGGCTCCGCCCGCGTTCAGATGACCAAAAACCAAATTCTTAGGTTCTACATATTAGTATACACTTACATTGCAGTTTTTGTATTTTTTTCTCAGAAATGAGACATTTTCCGAGAAACAAATCCGAACTTATGGTTGAATAATTTAAAGTTCTTTCTAAGTTTGTATATATTCTTAGTAAAAGACGTGAACGGATTCTAATGAAATTCTGTGTAGTGATAATGTATTACTAGATTTAACATAATCTATACATATAATAAAAGTTGCTAAGCCGAATCTGTACATTAAATATTTTTTGGAAAATCTTATTGAAATAGACATTATTATTAATACAGAGGCCGAATCTATAGTTTTTAGAATTTTTGTCTGTCTGTCTGTCTGTCTGTCTGTTACCGCATCACGGAAAAACTACTGAAGGGATTTCGATGAAATCTCTGAGAAATCGATACGAAACATTAATACGTAAGTAGGGACGAACCCGAGCGAAGCGAGGGTGAGTCGCTGGTTTTTAATACAACTAAATTTCTCATTCCCACGGGAAAATTCAATATCTGGTTCGATCAAGTTCTCCTTTGTAAAACATACTCAACAATTTATAACACAAAACTATTAGTAGTAAGGTTAATTATTTACATATTTAACCGTTTAATGATGTAAAGTCTCTTATTTTAATGTAAAAAGCAAAATTAAGCTCGAGCCCAATTCGCTTATCTATGAGTAATAGTACATAGCATAAAACAAGGTTACTGTCTGCCTCTGTATGTTTTTATATTTATTTCTTTTAAACCTCGCAACGGATTCTAATATGGTTGTAAATAATAGAGAGAGCGATAAATGAGGAAGGTTTCTGTATATAATTTGTAAATATTTCATATAAGATGGCCGGACTTGACGGTGTTTTGTAAAAAAAATACTATTTTCGTTTGCTTACATGGCTAACATTGGTTACAGCATCAGATATGCATCGAAATAATGTAGGTTTTAAAAAGGCCTACAGACCTTGCCAGGGTTCAGTACTTTTTGCGAAAAATGCCCATGTGTGTTAAACAGACAAACAAACAAAAATTTAAAAACTATTGTTTCAGGGTCTATATTATGTATATTTTACACAATATATTACAGTAACTGTTAAAATAAAAAAAATATTTCGTGTACGGATTTTGTTCTTTTAATATTTTGATATATGAAGGTATGGTTTAAAAACATAGTTGTGGTCCATTCTTTTGATCAAGTTGATTAAACTGGCACTAACTAAATAGTTATATTACTAAATGGTTATATATATCTATTTTATAATAACATTGATTTCGACATAGGCATAAAGCAATATTAGTCGTTTTTTACTAGTTTACATTAATCCTTTAAAGTTTAATCATACAACGGTCTATAACGAAGATATCTACATAGAGATACGAAGATAATATTCGAACTGTGTTACGCTTTATAATCTAGAGATTAGAGATTAATTTAATATTATTTGTACTTAAAAATTCCAATAAAATAATTTGGTCCAATGCATCCAAAGAAACATACAAAGCATTCAGGACTATCTCAAATAGAATATGGCTTCTTCGTTGTGTCTCTTAGATGTTGATGTTGGGTGTATCAAATGAAAATGTTCAATTTAAAATTCTTAAATTGAATGAGTAAAGAATTCATAAAAAATGATGATGATGATGTTCTCCTGGCCGATTCCGGCCACGGCGGCCAATCTCATTGAGACTAGCCAACTGCGCAGGAGATATTATAGTGCACAAGTGTACGCGCAGACACAAGTGCACTCTCTATTCCTGTCACTCTCATACCGGTGGGACGACTGCTCGACACGACCAGTGAGAGTTAAGGCGCAGGACCGACGGCTTTACGTGCTCTCCGAGGCACGGGGGTGAAACACCGCCAACTTCCCAACTTCGGGCTGTTACTGAGACTTACTATACAGAAAGACTCAATAACTAAACTTGGCCCGACCCGGGACTCGAACCCAGGACCTCCGGGTGTGCAGCCGTACACGCTAGCCACTACACCACCGAGGCAGTTATAAATAAATAAATAAAATAAAAAATATGGAATAAAAGAATTGTATTGTATAATTGGTTTTATTTAAAAAGAGCAATATTTAAAAAAAAAAACTTAATTACGCATTGCTCTGGATCCAGGCAATGAAATGAGGTACTCGGGTATAAACGGTTGGATAATTTAGGTAGCCGCATCCAGCGTCCCAGGAGGCTATGCCGAGTACTACATCAGTGCCGTGGATTAAAGGACCACCGTAGTCACCATAGCAAGGTCCTACATTCCTCTGTTCTATGATACCAGCGCACATCGTATTTGGCAACACGGTCATTGCAATTATATTGTAATTACTACGACAGACTTCCTGGTTTACAGTTCGGATGTTAACAAATCTTAATTGTTCAGAACGAGAATTACTACCCTGTAAAAGAAAAATATCAAAATGTAATTATATTGAAATATGGAAGTAGTAGGTGGATATATTCGTTTTTTCTTAACCCGTAAATTTTATAATTATAGTTCATAGCAATTTTATAGAATATACCTATATTTTACATTATTTATTTTATTTCATAAAGATGGTATACTATATAGGTAATATTTACATTTTATTTATCAAAATTTTGTAATATACGTAAATTATTATAATATAATATATGTACTGTACTTACATCAGCTGAGCCCCAGCCAATTGTTCTAACAGGTTGGTCATCTGCTACGACATAACCCTCACCAGCAAACCTGCCAAGTTGAACATTACCGCCGATAGCAAACGTAGATGAGATCCTAATAATGCCTACATCATTTTGCCTGTAGTAGTCAAACTGAGGATGACTGATAAGCTGAGAGACAGTGTGTGTGTTGCCACCGCTGCTAGCGTAAGAAGATCCGACTCGAACACGCCATGATTGAGCTGATGTAAAGCTGAAATAAAAAATATTACATACTGGCGACTTACTCTCGCTTCCCTCGTGCATGCATTGGTGCCTAACAGTAGTCTATGTTTGACTCCTAGGCATAGTCTATCTGTGTACTAAAGCTACAAATCCATACAGACGTTTCAGCGCGAAAGAGTAACAAACATACACACACATACAAACTTTCCTAATTATCAAAGTAGACCGATAAGATCGATTAAGTTTTAGAATGAATTTTAAGATCTAATTGTGAAAAATACTTTTAGTTAATACATAGGTAGGAGCCACTTATATAAATAAATATTATATTATAATAAATGTAATTAAATGATGGTTTAAGTAAAGGTAGTTTGTGGAAATGTATGAACTGTATAAAATAGAGAAGTTATACATGTGTGTTAAAGGCCTATCACAAAATGTACTGAGTTCTATGGTAATGAGTTCGAGCGGCTGACGCATCGCTGTTTCTAGCATTTTCTGCAGTTGTAATTACTTCTATGTAAAGTTTTATAATAAACTAGCTACTTACTTCTTAATGTTTAGTATAGATTTCTCAGAAATGGGATATTTTTTCGCGGTAAAAAGTGTCCTATATGTTGATCCGGATAACCAGCCATCATCATACCAAATTTCATCAAAATCCCCCAGTGGTTTTTCCGAGATGCGGTAAGAGACAGACAGACAGAAGAAAAATTCTAAAAACTATAGATTCGGCCTCTGTATCGATAACAATGTCAATTTCAATAAGATTTCTCAAAAAATATTTAATATACAGATTCGGCTTAGTTTCAATTTTATTATATGTATAGATTATTTAAAAAAAAGTATGTAATTACGTTTCTTTTGAACTGACGTATATTCTGGTATAAATTTTAGTTAATAATATTGATGTTGTAAGGATATATTTACAGCTAATTCTGAACGGTTTTGATAGTTTTTAAGATTTTCAAAAGGATTTTTTGTAGAAATCCAATACATATTTTCAAATACAAAGGCCGCTATAAACTCAACAACTATATATATACGAGATATTATTATATAGTTTTTTATTTCGTTTGCATAATATATTTCAATCCATGAGCTTGAAAAAGTGCTGTCACGCATTTTATTAAAAGCTTGCTTCGAAATTTTGGCTTTATTTTAACTAATAATAAAAATTTGCAAAAAGCGAGACCGCTATGAATTATATTAATAACTATTCTCCACCATACAATAAGTGAAAATTGTTGAAGAGTTTCAGTTTCTCTGAATAAGAACGCCTAAGATGGGCATTAAATTGAAAAATCACGGTCATAATGTAATAGGCCTGTTAAAGCATACATCTGAGATGACGATTGATAGAGGGAAATGGGAGAAAAAACACGTTGAGCAACATGTTCGGATCTACACGTAGAGGCAAGCAGAAGGAGAAAAAGAAAAAATATTAATCTTACTAAATGCAATGAGCAGCAGTGAGAACAGAGCGGACACTTAGGATCACACCGCCACACTCTTGAACAAAATTAATTCCGTTGGGAGTGTTAAGAAGTACTGCAGCATAAGGATAATTGTTGATGGTTGTTAATTGACCACCAAGAATCCTCTGAGGGCCAGACGAAGCTGAAAATAAATTATATATCTTCTTAAAAGGTATCATGAAAATAAATTGTTAATAAATTTCATTATTAGGTAAACCTTCTTTGTTAAGTTATTGTATACCATGTTGGTGATCCTAATTAAATAAATAAATTTAGTGTCATAATATTTATATAAATATAAGTATGTTTCTAATTTATGCTTGCAATATGTGTTGAAATTTTTATTTAATTTGCAAATAGTTAGAGATGAAGCTAAAACATAATAAGACAGAGAAACTATCTAAATTTGATTATTTATCGATATATATAGGACAATAGCTTGTACCTGTAAATCATAAGCAACACATAGTATTAAACCATGAACGAATTGTTAATTCGTTCATGTATTAAACCATGAACGAATTAGAGACTGGACCTGACATAAAATACAAATGTATGAAAACTAGTTCAACCAAGTGACGCATAACGCACACAAAGATTTTATTACATTATTATAAACACTGATACACAATACAATATTTCTAGTGCTTGAACGTAATCGATAAAATACATATATCGATGAACCAATGAATGACATTTTAGACATTGGTTAGCATAGTCATCATATTTTACATCATTTAATTTATTCTTCTTCTTTTAATTTTAATAAATTAAAATAAACGAATTAAAGAGGCAATAATAATGTGTCAAATAATAATTATTTTTTAATTTGATTTATATAATACGATGGCATTGATGGCAAACATTCTGTTGGCCTATAATAATGTTAATGAACAAATGAATATCGGGTATATATTCCATAATATATAATAAATATTTATTTTGTAAGATTAAAAAAATATTAAGCTAATTTAATTAAATAAAGTGATTTTGTTGATTCTGTTATTGAACTATTTTAATTGGCAATTGATTGTCTCGGGTAGTTATAAAATGTGACACTGTCCTAATATTGCTCAATTCTTAATAAACATTTGTGAAATTAGGAAAAGAAAAAGAGATTGCAAATTAAAGTGAGTGTTGGATCGTGAAAGTAAAATAATTAGTGCAAGTGGTAAAGTGTTTTATTACAAATCACCAACCCAGAAGTTTAGTGCTAAAACATTATTGTTTGATTTTGTGTAATTTATGTGTTGAAATAAAATGATCTTTATTATTATTACAATGGAATAATATTCCAAAGTATATAAATGTGGTATCAAATAAAATAAAAAATTAAGTACACATACTAATTATATTTTTGCATTTATATTCTTATTTGATTTAGAAATATTTTTATAAATTTATTGTCATCAGATTGTAGGATAATACTGTGATAAAAGTATTTTATGTTAATGTACTGTACAAATAACACAATTCGTTCAGTTATTTCGTCAAATATCGATATATTTTCGACATTGTCAAGCACTAGTCGATGTCAAATGGACTCACTCGACAGTTTTGTCATTTGTTCTGAATGGTATAATCCAGCCCGTTTATGATGGTTTGTCAGATGTCAACAATCATAGAAATATCGACTATATTTAACCTAGTTGGATAATATGACATTTTATTTTACATTTAATTAAATTGTGTGATAAATAACAAGAAATGTAATAAAATAATGTATTTACAAGTGAAAAGAAATACTGCTGCTTCCGCCGTTATAGTTTTTACATCATTTAACAGAACATTTAGTCATTTTTGGGAGATGTTTTGTTGACAAATAAGTGCTTGAGACTGACGCAAAAAACAAACGACCAAGCCTAAAATCTCCTGGTTACTGAGAAGACCGATAAAGGTACGTCCGCTTATATGTCTAGTCCAGTGGTTAATTCGTTCATGTATTAAACTATCGAGAGAGTACCATTTTTAAACAAACAGCTGAACGCTTTTGTCATTTGTATATTACATATTTATTTACGAGTATTTTAATAGCGCAATTTTAAAAACTACCTTTTCTAATTACACTTTAAACAAGGTTCTTGTCACACCAAGTATGTATACTTATTCTTAATTTACAACCTATCTCCATTAATCGAACATAATTTATCTTAAAACATACTCATATATGAAGTACTTCACTGACCATAAATTAAACTTAGTGGATTAGTGGTTTTATTCCTACATTTGCGAGTTTACTAGGACTAAGGCGACTTATTGATTCTGTCAAATACAATTTTTTTTCTTTTCTTTTTTTTATTAAAAATGGGCTTACTCTCGACCTTCATCTCAGCTCGAAGTCATAGATAAGGTCTATGATCTAGCGAGTTTGCCCAGAAGAAGCCTGTTAACACGCACCTTAAAAAGTTTCAGGTTGTACGCACTCGGAAAAACAGACGCAGGCGGGGCATTCCATTTCTTGGCTGTGCGCATTATAAAAGATGATGAATAGCGCTTAGTGCGAGTGGTCGGAATATCAACCAAAAAAGGATGGTATTCCGCAGTAAGCTATTTCATTTTTGAGATCAAATGAACCCTTATCATTTTCAATAAAATATTCTATCCATCAGTAAAAAGTTTAAAATTTTATATGAATAAGGACTGACTCACCTGCAACAGCAGCTAGGCCAAAGACAGCCAAAAATATTAAGCTATTCATATCTAACTATTGCTTCACGATACTATCGGCAATATTACGAAGTTCGGTTATTTATTGATGTACTTATCAATTAAATATACAACAGATCTGATATAGAATTATGTTTTACAGTTCAATATATTAGAATTATCTTGAATTCTAATTCGTATAATTATTATCATAGCTTAAACAATAAACATTATCATTTCATGAATAATATGACTAACCGTTTGAACAAAGTATCTCTTTGCTTCATGATAAGCTCGAGGAAAATAAAAATTGCCCAAAATAACACTTTTTTTTTTTTTATAGTTGGGTAATCCTATTACGGATACCACCCGACTTCCCTCGGGGTGGTTATGTGGAGACTCTCCGGCTAATGAGACCGGCATACCCACTAAAACCCAACTTTCCCCCTCTGCCGCCATGTGGGACGCCACGGGATCGCTCTCGCATACAACCGCGACGGCCGAAGCCACCAACCATGAGGCCGCCCCAAGCGGGACAACCCCATTATGGGAAGACTTGCAACCTAAGAAGTGAGGCCGCTCCTAAGTCCACTCTGCTGATCAGAGAAGTACCCGGAGCAGCCCCACACCACACAAACACCGCCCACCGAAGTGGGCAACCTGCTAAAATAATTCCCCACCCAAATTAGGCAAAAGCCCCTCCCAAAGACGCCCGAAAACGAGCCCAACCACAAACGGCTGCAGGAGAAGAGGATGCGACAACGCCGACACTCCCCTTCCCCTGCAGCCCCACCGCGTCCACCATCAACGGTGGTGGCCCCGCTAGGCCGCGGGAGATAGGGACGAGCGGCGCATCGCCATACCGACACTCCTCTTCCCCCGCGGCCCCCCTACCGTCGGCCCACCTCCGGACCAAAATGGCTGCTGACATCCCTCGCCAGACGCAGGACCACCGAACTGGCCCCGCTCCAGCCGCCGCACCGACGGGCTAGCCCCGGCAGTGTGGCCCGCGCAGCGCCTCCTACCGCGAAACGGCCGGAGATACCGCGCTACCTCCAAGGCCCAAAATAACACTTGAATTTACTACAAGAGTTGATGAGTATAAAATTTTCTATATACCAGTCCTAATATTTCATACGATCAACAGCTATTCTTGAGAACGCGAAGAGTGGGGAGCCCGTTTTGTTTTTAGGTGATTGTGATTTTGATTTTTCACCCTAAGTGCAGTAACACAGCATTATTCGTCTGCTTGTTTGTTTATCTGTCTGTAAAAATAATAATTTTGAATTTGGAGAACGTTAATAAATGCGTTTTTAGAGTCGTACTAGACAAATAAGAAGCTTATCTTTAGCTTTATAATCATGTTACATTTCAAATAAAAAGGCTCCTTATTATGAGTAATAAAACATATATATTTTTTTAATTTTATATAAAAAAAAAAGTAAAATAAAAAGTACAATAATTGGGAATATAAGTATATAGAGGATCCCAAAAAAGGAAATAAAGAAGTTCATTCAATTCTAAAGGTGACAATGGATGGCCACTTTAACACTTATTGTATCGTCGCGACAAACACTCGGGGCCATATAACACAATATGAGAGAGTCCAAAACTTTTCAATCTACCCCAGCGTAACTATAGTAGAAATCTCAAATTCCGGTAACTGTACACAACGTAACAATAATAACAAATAGCAGCATAACATTCGTCGGTTTTTGAGTGAAAATAAATATTTGTAGAATATTGATATTTCAGAAACAAAACTTATTGTTTGTCAAAAACTCTGCCAACAGTTGGAAAATGGCTCAGTTTTGAGAAGATCTATTGAAAGTAACTCAGCGGAACTTAGGTATTTGTTAAGGACATTTATTGTGAGTAAAAGTTACCAGGTGTTAATATTTTTTTTTATAATACACTGTATATTTTCATTCAATTAGATTTTAAAAAAATATTTATCTATAAATGTAAAAAGTTTTAAATTACAATAACAAATACAATATTTTAAAACGGCCTACAATGATTGATACAATAATTTCTTTACTTAAGTAAACGTAGCTGTCGGATTCTATTGTAAAAAAAAAACGGTGTCTATTCGTCCGATAATTGGATGAATAAAATATTTACAGTCGCAATACATCTTTATATTATATTTTTTAACCGACTTCCAAAAAGGACGAGGTTCTATGTTCATCTGTATGTATTTTTTATACATGTTCACCGATTTCTCGGAGACGGCTTGACCGATTTTGCTACTTTACAACTGTTTTGTATTAAGGTAGGTCCCGAGGTTATCCCATAAAAGAATATAGCGTTTTCGAGGAAATCAGGATAAACCATGAAATTTGAATAATGTTAACAAATCTAATTATACTTTTGTACCTACTCCTAATTGTGATATCGACTTGAAACTTTACCAAGTGTAAAACAATAAAACACTTTACCTGATATAATCGTTATATTGACATTAATTAATAAAAATTATATACACAACAGAAAATCATACGTCCCGCCCAAACGTCAATCAATATCTTCGTCGTCATACTTTTCCTGCCTGCCACCTGCATAGACGAACACCACAGAGGTTGGTTGGTTGGTTGTATGAAAGCGTACTTGATGTCTTCGAATAAACTAGCGGCGCGTAACAAAGTGTTTGTAATTTCGATGATAGTAATTTGGTATCTTGGAGCTGATCTGATAGTGAGAATTAGTTGAACTCTTCAACGGCTTCTATAGTTTGAATTTGGACATTTGATGAACCCGATTTGTTTGAATTGGATTTTGGAACCTGGTTTAACCGACTTCCAAAAAGAGATATGTTCACCTATTTCTCGGAGGTGGCTACTGTATTCTATGGAGAATATGGACCTGTGGTTACACTGTTGAGCATATCTTATGACCGAAGCGCGGTGTTTCACCCATTCTGGACCACAATGTTGAATTTGCAAAATGTTGGATTCTTATGATGTTGAATTCGCAAAATGTTGACTCCCAAAATGTTGAATTCGTAAAAAGTTGAATTTACTGGACCCACAATGACAAGTTCCTAAAATGTTGAGTTCGCTAAAAGTTGAACTTGCAATATGTTGAATCCTAAATTTTGAACACAAAAAATTGTATCCTAACAATCCGAACAACAATATACATATAAATACAATCTGAATTGAAATGAATTTTTCTTATCTGCGATATTAATAGTTATTGTTCGTTACCACCCCAGTTTGGAAAAAGGGCAATGCAATGTCACTTGGTCAAGAAAATATCCTCCAATAGTCTTGAATATAAATATGATAGCAATATAGTAGTACGATTGTGCTCTTATTTTGTGTTACTTTCACCGACGTATATGACAGAAGACTGGCGGCATATTGTATATACTGCCCCTGATTTAGAAAATTAGCACAATTTTCTACAGTATTTTGAAGAGCAGTGGTTTAATATGATCACAATTTGATAAGTAGGGAGCATTATTGTTCCTTGTTGTATGAACATGTCGACATAGTGAAAAACAAATTCGAAAAACAAATTACATCGAACAAAAAAACAAGTTTTGTGTTACATTTTCATTTATTAAAGTAAGTACAGAACAATATTCATAAAAAGCACATGAAAATTCATTTCAATTCATTTTTTATGCAATTCAGATTGTACTTATGTATATTGTTTTTCGGATCGTTAGGATACAACTTTTTTGCATTAACGTTTTGGGATTCAACATACTTATATAATAAAATATTCTTTATTGCACTTACAATATACAGACATTTTAATATAATAGTTGTATTGCAAAGGTGGACTTATCTCTAGAAGAGATCTCTTCCAGCCAACCTTTGTTCATCAGAAATAGATTGTTAAAAAAACATATTGCAAGTTCAACTTTTAGCGAACTCAACGTTTTAGGAATTCAACATTGTGGGTTCAGTAAATTCAACTTTTTACGAATTCAACATTTTGGGAGTCAACATTTTGCGAATTCAACATCATAAGAATCCGACATTTTGCAAATTCAACATTGTGGTCCAGAATGGTTTCACCGTGCGGTCAAGCAGTCGCCATGCATGACATGCAAACCTACTAAATGTATGTATAAACTAATAAAACGCCTCTTAATCTAAGCCCTAAGAAGGGGAGCCACAATTCCGTCCACAATCATTATCTGAACTATCGAGAATGTCGATATGCTGAGAATAGAAATTGATACATCACTAATATTAATTACAGGGTGTTTTAAAATTCATACTAAATTTCAGTGTTGCTTATCGTATCTAATGCAGTTTTGAACTAATTAATAAAACACGAAATGAATTTTTAAAGTTTATTTGCACAAAACGTAGTCAGACATGATTGGTGTGCTTAATGCGCCTCATTCGGATGCCACAAGACATTTCCCTTGATGTTAGCAAATCTTCGTACAGCAGGTGTAGATTGTGATGCAGGGACAGCACGGGCCACTGCTGCCGCCGCAACAACTTCCGCATGGACCACACCTGAAAAGAAATTTTCATATATAACTAATAGAACATACTTTGTTTTGCTTACCTTTTAATATAAAACCTTGCCGAATACTTACATTATTGATCTAGTCGATTAATATATTCAATTCAAATAATAATAATATAAAGTGGAATATAAAGAGATTTAGAATTATCTAGAGACTTGATATTTAAGTTCAAGAATATGATTTTTTTTAAGTTTTTAAGAAGTGGTCTACTCCAATGATTTGATTATACTGATCCAATTCTTCGTTACTCTCCTTATATATGCTTCGTATGTCTCAAAAAAAGAACGAAAGTGAAGAATATATTCCTCTATGCAATTTTATTTTTATTTTCGGCCAGCAAAACTTTTATAAAAATTATTACACCTTTAAAAAAATATAAAGGCGTATACAGACTTTGATGTATACATATTATAATTATTGATCAGACGTTTGTGTCGTAAAAATTTCTGGTCAATTTTTAGTATGTATACATAATTTTTTAAAGAAATTTAGATAAACCTGAAGTTAACAATTTTTATAACTACATATATAATACAAGACTAGCGACTCACCCTCGTTCCGCTCGAGTTCACCCTTAGTTAAATTTTAAATTTTATTATAGATTTCTCGGAGATGAGATATTTTCCTGCAGTAAAATTCCATAGTCGAGCAGCGTTCACTGTTAAAGAATATAATTGACAAACATACAGATTTTTTTATAAATTCACACTTTTATCCACTAAATATTATAAACGTATTTGTTAAATTGTAGGATTGCTAGTTTGTACTTTCGAAAAGAGGTGCGAGGAATGTAATTTCAAACCTGTAGACCATAGCCTTCTTGATTTACACATATTTTATTGAAATCTTAAATTAAATTTTTTAGGCATATTCAACCATTTTTTTCATAAATTGTCTAGTGTTTATTTTAATTATTATTCAAATAAAAAAATAAAAATGCGTTGTGAGCCTTGTGCGCCTTTAAAAATCTGTAAAAGCCGAGAGCTGCGGGGAGGGCTGCTTTACACAGATTGTTTCTGCCTTCGTCGTAACGGATTGCAGTACGACTGTCGTAGAAGTGGCTGCCAGAATTCTTCTTTATGTCAAACGTTACCAGCGCCTTTATGTGGGCCAGCTGCAGTTGCCTGCATAAAGCACTGTCAAAATCCCCATGCAGAAGAACTACGAAGTATTTGCAAAATGAGAAAAATGTGCTAAAATAATCCCTTCGATAAAAAACTTTTTGGATTCTTTATCATGTTTCGTTTTAAATAATTCAAAAATTGTAAATTCCTTGTTTATTTTTCGAAATGAGAACAATTCAACAGAAGAATTTAGGATTTCAACGAATATACATGTATTTTGTATATTAAAAATTATTGTTTAAATTTCCTTTAAAAGAAGTCTAAATTATACAAGTGAAGAATATATAGAAATTATTTTGTAAAATATAAAACTAAATAAAAATCAGTAAAAAGGAGAAAGCTCGCTTCGTTTAATTTGCTCTTGGGTCAAATATTGCTTTTCATTATGTAAGTTCTAATAATTACTTAATATCTACAGATTATACTCATTAAAATCTTCGCATTGTTCATATTAAACATAGTTTCTCTTGTCTGAATTTTACAGGCATCGATATCGGATAAATAAAGTTTTATGATTAAAGAATAAGCAAAATAATAATCACTTTATTTATATTAAGACTGTTATTCGTCCGATAATGTCGGATGAATAAAAATATAATTGTACGAACCGATCTACCACTTTTTTGTGTTCTAATGTAAATAAGTGATTTTTAGGTGCAGGCGTTTCTATATGTAAAAAACAATAAATACCTTTACCTACCGAGTTAAAAACTTATACATTTAGATCTCAACAATTTTTTAGTTTGAGAGCTTTTATGTGTATGTGCGTGTAAAGAGTGATTTTTAGGTGCACGAGTTTCTATATGCAAAAAAATACCTTAAACGTAACGAGCTGAAAAGTTATTATTTTTGATCCCAATGTTTTTATAGAAACATAAAAATAGTTGCAGTTGCAATACATCACACATGAACAATAAATAGATACGCCGTTATATTAATGTTTTACAAATGTTCATTTCAGGTGTTCTCCATGTGGTCCTATGGTATGCTATAAATATGAAGATTGTGGACCATCGGTTAGTTATTGTTGATAAATGCTGCTATATATTATATTTTTTAAGTCAAGTGGTTTGTGTAGTTTAAAAATCATTATTTAGTTGCAGTGCCTGCCGCGGTCTGCATTTAAGCGTAATGGGCTGCAGGATTGCCAGTTCTTCCAGCAGGGGTCGATCCGATATTTATGTCGGGCAGGTCCCTGCTGTTCGAAGCCCTGTCCTCCGTCCTGCCCGCCGTGTGTACGTCGCCCGCATCCTGGCAAGACCTACGTCGCCCGATTTAGTGATTTTGACCTGATTTCTCAATGGTAGTACTGGCGTCGCATCAGCTTAAGAGCTTAGGGTAATATTATTATACACATTCACGGCGGGCAAATATAGGATAAATATATTTATTAATGTCATATTCGATTTACAGAAAGAAAAATATGCCGAAACAGCTCCCGGAGCTGACGATGGCGGCGCAGAAAAAAAAGAAGCAATAGAAAACCAAATAAAGAGAACAAAAAGCCGTGAGCTTCGCGGTGGGGTTATGTACTACAGTTGCCACTGTATAAAGCGAAACGGCCTTCAACATGATTGTCGGCGTACCGGGTGTGGCGGAGAGCCAGCCTGCCTTGTTTTACCTGACCCTGTATGTGCTCCTAGTCAGTTAGCAAGAGCTCGTGGACTGGCAGATTCTGCTCCATTTGCAGCTCATGTTCGTGCTCAAGCCGGTGGTTCCGGAAGTTATACAGGTCCTGATACTAGTTCGGGCTCCGGCAAAAGGTTCATAGTTTGCGAACTTAAGGGCGTGATCCCAGATACCACGACAAAGAGAACTGGGCAGTGTTGTAAGTTACCAACATCTATTACTTCTGAAATAACCGATACATATTCTAAACTTTCCAATGATCTAAAAGTACACCAAGTAAAATGTTCATGTACATGCAATTCATATAATAAAATCAGTCCAATATATTCATTTGACGACCAAACTATGGAAAATATTCTTAGTCAATTTCAAAATAAAGATTTAAAGGATAGTGATAGGATAGCTCTTGGTCCAGGTGGTAGACCGCAAAAACCAGTAAGAACTGTTTTTAAGGAGGAATGCACTAGACCAGGCTGTGTACACTGGAAGCAGCCATCACCTTGTTTGTGGTCATTACCTTGCAAAGCCGATTGTTTTGAGACTCCATTAATAGCTAGACCTGTTACGAATGTAATAAACGACGACGATGGCTCCAGTTTACCTAGCGTGGCTTCTGCAAATAACCAAAAAGAACGCAAAATGATTGTACTAACTCCAAAAGGTTAACTTTTACACAGGTTGCTCTAGTACTGAAGATTCTATGAAAGCTACGACGGCGACAGATTTACCAGTACTAATAATGAATCTCTGCTAAAGTATTGTATTGTATATTTTTTATATCAATAAAAACTTTATTAAAAAAATACCTTATATTTTCATTTGACACTTTTACATCACATTTTAAATTAATATTCATAACAAATACAGTTACAGTTCAAAATTAATAACAAAAAGAATATATCAAAATGTAGTTTTTTGAAATATTTGCATTGCCTTGCACACTGATATCTTTTACACCTAAACATAACCTAGGTACTTTACGCTGCCATCTAGAACCCATTAATTATGCAAGTTTATTTTCTTTCCCTCCCTTGGTGAGAATGACCTCAAGTGAGATGTACGCTACAGTGTGCCTATAGTCTGATTTTTAATTCCACGGAAATATGATGGCTATCATTCTTTGACAATTCAGATATCATAAACCTTTTCTGCTTTGTATTTTTTTAATATAAAATAACCAAAAATATGAAACAGAGTTAGATAAATTAAACTATATGTATGAATGACACTGTAAATAGTCTTTGTTTAGTGGTTAAATGAAAAAACAGAGTAAAACAAAATAAAAAGAAATGAAAATATTTACTAATCATTATTACTTATACCATCCTTGTCATCATCATCCACTAGGATTATAAAAGAATCACACACACTATCCATCAGATCAAAGGGCACATTTTATCCTTTTCTTTTATAATATGGTTTATGCATTCTTGCCAAAAACATTATTACATTAAAAATCGTGAACGATCGTTGTGGACCTGTCTTTTTGGGACTTTCCAATTCTTTTTGCCAATTGCAAAGATTTTACGAACAAAGGGGTTTTTCTAAAAAAAGGCTTGCAACCTATGCATTATTGAACAGGGATTCCTGTAATAGAAAAATAATTTCCTTAATAATTCAGCTAACTTCCATTATATGATAATAAAAAAATAATTACCATTTTAGAGTTATCAATAATTTTTTGTCATAGTTTTTCTAATTGAAACCTTAAATTCAAGAAAGATTTAATTTTTTATTTTGCTGAAATGCTTTCCGTTTTTAGTGACAATGTTTTAAAGCTGACAACATTTATGAAATGTCAGAATTCCGCCGAATTAAAAATCAGACTATAGTGACAGTTTTTTTTATCTACTCAACGCGAATTTATATGGAATTGAAACTGCGCCATCTAGTAATAAAAAATATTACTTTCTGTTTTAACATTAAGGGGTCAATTTCACTCAATTTCTATAAAATACGTAGTTAGTAATAATTTAGTGTTAATAATAACCAACAAAGTTAAAATGTTTTGAGGTTAAATTTTTTTTTATCTCAATTTTTATCGCCATCATGATGACGTATGATCGTGAATATTTGTTTTTTTTACTGTGCTATCTACTTTGTCCACTAGCTTCCAAAACCTATTACCTACCTCTTACGACTGATACTAGCATTAAAGCCAAACCTCTCGCTTCCAGGTTATTAATTTTTATACTAGCGATTCACCCTCGCTCCGCTCGGGTTCGTCCCTACTTACGTTATAACATTTAGTACAGATTTCTCAGAGATGAGATATTCTCCTGCAGTAAAAAGTATCCTATATGTTGACCCGGATAACCAGCTATTATCATACCATACTTCATCCAAATCCCCCCAGTGGTTTTTCCGTGATGCGGGAACAGACAGACAAAAACTATAGATTCGGCCTCTGTGTCGATAATAATGTCTATTTCAATAAGATTTTCCAAATAGTATTTAATATACAGATTGGGCTTAGTTTCAATTTAATTATACCTTACATCTATATAAATAAAAATGAATGTTGGTAAGCGCATAACTCAAGAATGGCTGGACCAATTCGGCAAAAAAAAAATTCTCTTATGTTCCTTAAGGTCCACGGTTTTAATAAAGAGAAAAAACAAAGAATTAACGAAAAAAAATTAAAATTTATATGGCTAACGCTGGCTAATAACTATTTATATATATTTAAAACGTACCTAGCGGCGAACCCGAGCGAGGAGAGGGGGAGCCGCTAGTGTATAGATAAATCGTACTTGTGAGTTGCGCAAAGCACAAAGAGTGATGATAGATCACTATGCAATTATGCAAAATTACAATTAGTACAGGTATGGGCAGTGGCCTACTTCTGTACTTATCATATTTTGTTAACAAAGCAGATAAGCAACAAAGTTCTAGCAAATTATGGCTCAACTTATCTTCAGGTTGTAAATATAATAATTGAGATTGCATTAAATTTTATTTTGTTAATCCGTATTATTTCCGTTTTATTATTAATATTCCGTCAACGACCGCGGACACGCCGGCGTTAACAATAGATTTCTTAAAAATTTAATTAATTTCTTAGAAATTTACCTGGAGGTGATATAATATAGAGAAAGTTTGTGAGTATGAATGTTGCTAGTCTTGAAAGACTAACAAACATCCATACTCACAAACTTTCAACGCAAGAACGGCTGAACGGATCTAGATGAAATTTTGCACAGAGATAGATTATAGTCTGGAATAAGACTTTTTATCCCGGAAAAGTGTACGGTTCCCGTGGGATAGGTTTGTTTTTGTTTTCTTAGAGGCGAACCCGAACGAAGCGAGAGTGAGCCGCTAGTTATACATATAAGGTCCTCATGATAAAAAACTATACCTACATCTATATAAATAAAAATCAATAGCCAAATGTATATAAGCGAACTATTTCAGAACTGCTGCACCTATTTGGCTAATTCTTTTTTTGTTGTGTTTGTAATTGTCAGGGCAAGGTTTGGGTGTTTGTTTTCATTTTAGCGGCTACATCGTTTCACTGCGACCATTTCTTGTCTATTGTGATCACCGCATTTTACCTTTCAAATAAAACTATCTTTTCGGATTATTTCGCGGATTTATTTTGATTTTTGGTTCCCGACGCGGTTTCGTATGCTTTACAGTAATCATGATCACGGGAGAGATTAAGGTTATTGACGTCTCAAACACATATACTTGTTACAGACAGTGCCTACCCACTATTTTACAAAAATGATTTCAAAAATTCAAAAATGGCATTAAAATACCTTACAATTTTTGTTGATTTTTATTTCTAAACATTTTTTTTTTTTAATAAGTATTATAATTAAATATAGCAATATTACTTAATTTCAGTTAAGCTTTTAGAGGGTACCACCAAACCCTGCAGATGTTAAAAAGTACAGGATTTTCTTACGGTTACACTCTTTTATTTCATCTAGGCCTAGAAATTGTTTTCCTAGATTAATACTGTGTTTGTGCCTGAGTGGTCCACATTCACATAGAAGATAAAGTGACGTTTCGTCTGCCTCCATGCATATTACGCAGGATTGCGTTTCTCTCAGGCCTCAGCCTTTTTTTTTTCAGCTTCTTTTTTTGGATTTTTTGGAATCACCTAAACACTTAGGAATTATTCGTTTAAAAAAAATTGAAAATAGCAAGGTAGGTAAAATTTTATTTTATCTTAGCTTGAGTATCGAAAGGAGGTTATTACTATGATATGTCATATGGCGTATGTTATTTTGACATAAGTATAGATGTAATTTGGTAGTTACATAATATATTCGAGTACATTTACACTATTTTAAATAATTATAATTAATGACATGTTACCAAATCAATTAAAATTAAATTTTGTTGTTAATAACAGTTTCAAATTTTTTCTCCATTATGGGAAAAACTTCTATAATACAGATGCGAGTCAATCAGGTGGCTCAGGCAGTGATAACAAGCAAAGAGATAATAAATGTGATAACTTCAGTCCTGTGAAAAAAGAAAACGAAAGTAAAGTTAAAATTTGTGAAGTATGTCGTGCATACCCTTGTGAATGCAATCCATCTGCTCCTACGATGTATGACGTAAGATTCTAAATATAAGTAAATGCATCTCACGTGTATCCCTAAATGGCCTAACATTAGGCAATAAACTAACTCAACAGTTATATCCGACTTTAATTGAAATTATTATGATATCTGACCGTAAACACATTTTTATCATAATAAAAAATTGCCTATAGCATTTGGCGTTAATTTAGCTCTCTCTTAGTGAAAGAATTTTCAGAATCGGATTATTAGTTTCAGAGAAGGCACCCTACTTAAAGCTTACAAACTTCACCTCTTTATAATATTAGCTATATGATTTTATGATATGCCACCAAAGACATTATAGGTTATATCGTCTGTGTATGCTACTTACCCACAGACTATCTACTTATTCTTTTTAAAACGTACGAGTATATATTAAAATTTACTAGAGTGATAAATATATCTATCTATATAAACAAACACTTTTCCTATCTATATATAACTAAATATTGCATTGTTTAATAATTAATAAACTATGTGTTGCTAAACAAACAAATTTCTTGCCAGATAGTTACAATATGTTAATTGTACTCGTATGTTTTAAATTTTTTGGGCAAGACCTCTTATTAGTGCAATTGTCGGAAAATAAAAAAAAATATGATGAATATGTAACAGTATAACTTTTAAAGGTTTATTCTTTATGTTGCAGTGTCGAAAATACGGTCACAATTTACCATGTGACAGCGCAGTGCCTCAATTCGAAACTTTACCACACATTCCCACTGGTATTTTTCGTTGTACTGCTGGAGAGGTATTATTATTTTATATACATTTTACTGTTATTATCGTTTACGATTAAAATGAAATAAAAATAAGTATAAATAAGTATAAATGAAATAAATATAAGTATAAATAAGTATAAATGAAATAAAAATAAGTATAATGTACCTTTTTATCTCTTGTTTAAATCATCGTTAAGTCTCAATTTGATAAATTAATATGTTTATCTATTTGCCTTGTATCTGGGCGTTATTTTTCGTAAGGCTTATTGCGTATTCTTTTGAAGTAGTAGAAGTCCATATGCTCCCAATTCGTTGGTGTACTTTGAGGGTTCCTTTCCAAAGAGAAAACTCTTATAATCTTAATCCTCTTTTTTTTGTCTATTACACCCAATTTTCGTCGAATCTACACGATGGAAAAAGTTGTAGGAGAGTTGAATGAACCAATGACGGACCCAATAACTATGTAATAGATTAATTTTAAATTCAAGACATATTATGGAGGTTAAACGAAATAATATAAAAAAATCTAAAACAACTTTCTACTCCTATCGAACCCGAATAGCACTAAACCAATTTTTTAATACTTTCCAAAAAGACTAAAACGTGGTTCAATAATTATATTATTGTGTCTAAGAGCTTAAGAAGCTTGCTTGCTTGAAGCTTGAAGCTTGCTTATAGCTAAACTTGTTATTGTGTTTTCCCGTAAGAATGAGATTTTTAACATAACGTTTAATTAAAATCCATTCAGTGCGTTTTTGTTGTGACAAAAGACGTACAGACAGACAATTAACAATTCTTTTAGGGTTTACATTTGATTCACAATATGTTACAGTCGTAGTTTTTAAAAATATTTCATGTAGAGATTTGGTTTTGTTACTCTTTTGTTATATGTATAAATAGCAATTTCTAAACATTATCATTTGTTTTTACAACAATCTCTAATTATAGCATATCAAAATTCAGATAGAGCAGATAATTCAGTGCGGTATTAACACCTCCAGGTAAATTTCTAAGAAATCTATTGTAAACTGTAACGCCGGCGTGCCCGCGATCTTGGAGGGATTAAAATATTATTTTTTATATAATAAAATTAAATAAAATAAAATAACTGACTGCTGACTGCTTAACTTTAAAAAATATATTTATCTTCATGTTTTACAATCACATTGAAATCAACTTTTATTCAAAATTTGTGTGTTTTACCTATTATGCTTATTGATCTTCTAAAACTCTATCTCCACTCTACGTCTCTACTCGCTGCTCAGTACTTACTGTTACCTATTACTTATTAGTATCCAAATTCCAATCCTATATTAATTTACCCATACAATCACCGTCTCTAAGCTAACACCAATAAGACAAACCTACTTGTAATTTGAGTCATTTCTTTTTCTTCGTTGTTAAGATTTTTTCTTCAATTCTTCCTGCCAAGCAAAATTTAATTTTTAAAACATACTTATACGTACATAATAGGTATAAAACCTATCAATTAAGAAATATCCTATATTATATATATTATTCAATAAATCTGTTGCTAGATAAATGATTTTGTAACAAAATTTGTTTTTATTTTGCTGTAAAAATTTAAGTTTTTGCATTTGCAAAGGATAGCAAAGAGATCAACCAAATGATGAGATAATAATATGAGTATAATACCTATAAGACGTTTCAATGTTTACAATTAAATGATTGGTACAAAAATATGTAGAATTAAATTTTATATTTTCCAGGTGCTGGGTCGAGGAGCCAACAAATATTCATATTATCAAAACCCAGAGTATTTCTCGTATCATCATATGTCTTTTTATGATATGCATTTAGTTTTGAGATGCTATCGTAGTCCAAGTGCAAAAACGGGAAGAAAAAATTAGATTCCAAGACAAGATGTTAATCATAAATATCTAAAGTGTATTTTACAAGTAAATAAAATTGTTATGCATGTATATGATTTACATATTACTCTGTAGTATGTATAACAATTCAATTATTTCTCATACAATTACTCGTTGATCTATTTCTAGTGTGTACAATGTAGGTACATCGGTACGGCTACAGATCCTGGTTTGAATCTCCGGTTGAGTCGAGTATACCTATTGGGTTTTTCAGCAATGAGACAATGAAACTTTTTGTATGGAACGATAGATTTATTTATAAGGTTCCGTAACCAAATAGCTAGAACCTTACAATTTCGCTAGACGAGTATCTGAACACAATTTGTTATCCTGCGTGCAATATTACAAATTAGAAATTATATACACAATTATAAAATTATATTATATAATTTTACAAATTATTGCGTAAAAAAACGACATGTACTTCGCCATTTTGTGGTGGCGGCCATCTTGGACCGATTTTCATCAAACATAGCTAAAAAAATCCCCACTTATTCACTTTTTAAACAAAAAAAAAACGAAATCAAAATCAGATCGTCCGTTCGGGAGCTACGATGCCACACACAAACAGACATACAGACACGTCAAACTTATAACAATCCGTCGTTTTTGCGTCGGGAGTTAAAGATAATAATATATTTTGTAAGCTGCTGCTGTAACTATTAAATATTAATCTATAGTGACATCTAACGGCAATGTACATAACTGTTAGGAATAAATAAATTATCGTAATATATAAAAATTATAGTTTGTGTGTTTGTTTGTAATTTTAATACGCCGCCATCGCCATACCATTCATAAGATTGCGATAAAATTTTGTCAACTTAATGATGTAAATAGGTGGCGAATGTGTCGTACCGGCAAATATATTTAAATGAAAATTTTCATTAGGATTCAGAATAACTATATTTTTATCTATTTATAACGTACCTAGGGATGCACCAGTGGGAGGCGAGAGTAAGTCGTTAGTATAAATATATTAATGATATGTGATTAAATCATTAAGTTTTTTTTACACAATCTATATTTCAATTAATTCAACGCCTTACACATTTTTAAAGCAATGTTATATGATACATATTATAATTTATAGATTTCAAGACATAACAGGCGTCGATACAATTTGTGGTAAGTAGCTAATAAGTACGAGTATTACAAAAGTTTACGTTTTGTTTCAATGAAATATATAAGCGATAAAAGAACAATTGACAAGCTTTAAAAAACTAAAATTTACGATTGATATAGAAGCAAAAACCATCATTTATAGAGCTTAGGAAAAATTACATGTTTACACGTTAGTTGATGTTGCGTTGTAACATATGATTTTGTTTTGTGCTTTCATCCAGTTTTTATTACTGAAAGATCTTCACGCTCTTGTGCATTCTGCAAGAAACTGGAGAATACTTCTGTCCCTTTGTACTTTGCTTTCGAAAGATTAAGAAAACTTTCTGAAAAGAGGAGTGCACCCGCTCACATAATATCGACGTCAAGTACCAGTGGCAGTGCGTATATATTTACACTAGTATTGCCGCGGCTCCGCCCGCGTTCAGATGACCAAAAACCAAATTCTTAGGTTTTACATATTACGTAGTATACTCTTACAGTACAGTTTTTGTATTTTTTTTCTCAGAAATGATATGTTTTCCCGCGGTAAAAAGTATCCTATATGTTGACCCGGATAACCAGCTATCACTATACCAAATTTCATCAAAATTGCTTTTCTGTGATGCGGTAACAGACAGACAGACAGACAGACAAAAATTCTAAAAACTATAGAATCGGCCTCTGTATCGATAATAATGTCTATTTCAATAAGATTTTCCAAAAAAATTTAATGTACAGATTCGGCTTAGTGACAATTTTATTATATGTATAGAATTCATTTTGCGACGAAAATGCGCCGGAGGAACAAACTGCCCTGTCCGATTCTTTTTCCTCGCTTTCCACCAGGAATCCATAAAACTGTTCATCACCCTAAGTTTTGCACAATAAAATTAAGTTACAATGGAAATTTATAAACAAAAAAGCGACAAAAAAAACATAGGTATAATCTATAAAAATAAAATCTTTCTTTACGAGAAAACTTATCAGTTGAGTGCCACTCCGGTACTGGAAGACATCCGCATTGTATCCTCATGAGAGGGTACTTAGTATTACTAGCCAGACTCTCGAGATTTATTCGTACGACATGCGACAGTGAAAGTAACAATAAAATCTGCTCTTTGTTCTCAAAAGTATTTTACGGGATGCAAAATTTGTCACGTACGTATCTATCTGTTAAATTCTTAAACATCGGACGGACATTGCCGTAAATTATATTATATTATGCTAATTTTGAGATGTTATATTGATTATTGGCATCTTATTTTATTATTGCCACACAAATAAA